ACCCCTCTGCAACAAGTTGAGAACACTTGTTTGGGGTCCAATGGAAAAACGGAGCTGCTTCCTGAAAAGTGGAGAAGTCCAAAGATCCAACCAAATAGCCAGAAAGATTCAAGGTACCTCCATTGGGCCGAGCATCACGTTTCGGTTTTCATGTTCATTTGGAGGCGCCCGAAGCATGCTACCTACAGGCCATCGACTTGGCACACTGTTGGACAAGCGCCGGTTCCCCCAACGGTCAATCTGCATTGTCAGCCGCACCCAAGCACATCAAGCACGAAAAAACCTCTTGCCATTTTCGCCCCGTGTGTGTGTGTGTGCATCCCTTTTGTGCGTGGTTTTAAGTTTTAAAGGGAGAACCAAAAAAGGAAACCAACCAGCTTGGGGGGGTCCCCTAAAAAACACCCCCTCATCCCGCATTTCGCTTTCGAAACCAGGCGACCCGTCCAGTTCCAGGCTGTGTCTTGGCCGCGCGCGGAGCCTGACGATCGAGGCCGTTCTTCACGCGTGAGGCTCAGCCCCCGACCATGTAACGGAACTGGGGGAACCCTCCCGTTATAGCCACCAAACGTACACACGCTGAGCTGATGCACCAACAATCCCGCGTGGCCTGGTTTTATGCCAATGGTCAACTTGAAATGAAGCGGCACAAATCAACGGCCCGCAGAGTTGCATCTCCAAACGCCTTGGGTTCGAGACATGCTTGAATCGGGTCGCAGGTCTTGGTGTCTTGGTGGGATCAGGTGCGCTGGGCCAAGGCTCGGCAAGGTTCATGGCTTGCATCTGGGGGTGCAGGCTTGAATTCTTCGGCAACAGGGTGAAGTAGGGGAAGCCAGGTTGGTGTAGGATGTCTGGTTGGGTGTAGGTTGGCCTACCATGGCTCAAGCTATGGCTGCAGGTGTGCTCCATGTGTTGGCTTAGGGCACTAGGGTCAGACTGCACCTGAACAAACGAATACGTGAAGTCTTGGCATCCGGGAGGTTGCAACGCCATGATGATGCAGGCAGCCATGACACATGACGCTGGCATCGTAGCGATGCTGAATGCTTGTGGATGATACGCAAAGCATCTTGACTGCAGCTGGAACGAAGACAATCTAAGGAAGCAAGGATGCAAGGTAGTTGGAACTCAATTGAAAGGGGGTTCATCTTGAAAACCACGCAAAGGCATTGAGGCCTTTGACAACTGCTGCTGCCACCCGGACGAGCGCAGACTTGGGGGACGCGTGGCGGCCGAGAGATACACCCAAAGGAACGCCGAACGCGGGAGGTGTCGAAAGCATCCGCCGCGGCGACCAATGCAGACCATGTGCTGGCAAGGAAGCAACGCCATCAATTATGGAAGCGAAATGTAGGTGCAGCCTGGCGCATAGCCAAACAGTTGAAGGCCTCACAGCAGAATAGAAACTGACCTCTGGCAAGCTTTCTCTAAGATATCAGGCGATCCTGCCTGCCAAAGGATCTGCGGGAATAGCTGCAGAACGTCAGGCCTCTCCAACGAGTTGCCACGATGCTTGCAGACTCGTTCCAAGCCTCTTGCCTCTTGCAGCATCTCTGGGTAAAGCTTCGTGTCATGGATCTCCGTGAAAATACAGCTGTCGCCCTGCTACGAGTAGGCCCCGAAAACTGGTCACTGGGACTCCCGGTCCCAAAACTGGTCGGTGGGGCAACTCAACCCCAACATGGTCGAACCCACGTTTGGGTGTGTCTTCTTTTCGGGGACCCTCCAAAATGCTGGTCTTCCTTGTGGTTTCCCTCTAATTAACCCCCACCAAAAGCGGGAAAATACTAGTACCCTCAAAAAAAAAGATAAACATCCACATGTTGGTTGCCCTTTCAGCCTTTTTATGTGGGTCTCTGTTTTGATGCCTCCCAGAGCACCAGCCAGCCGCGGCGGATGCGGTCTCGGCCGGCCCGCAGATCGGCGATCTGGCGGAGGGGGGCGGTTTGGGTGGATTCCCCATATTCCCCCGGGCAAAAACAGGGAAATCCCTCCGGTTTTCAACTTCCAATGGTTCGAAGGCCCGCGGTCTCGCAAAACGTGTGGAATGCCAAGGTTCCTTGACCAATCTGTGCTTTTGCGCCTTCTTGGACCGGCTGGCGCCAATAGACAGGGCACCAGGAGATCGTCTTTTGGTGCAAAACTCGACATCCGGGACATGCCCATGAACCAAATTGGGCAGGAGGGAATGCATCACCTTTGGATGCGAGTTCCACTTGCGTCTCTTTATGATGGAATCTCACCTCTATCATATTCTTCATCCAGGCTCGACCTCAAAGGTGGCATTTCCGGCCTGCAGGCCGCAGTGCGCGAAGGGGCGGCGGAGCCCCCACAGCCGCAAGCATGGCGCTCCGGATGAGTCGGATGGGTCACTCCCAACGAGCAAAGTTCTGCGCTCACCTGGATTGACCGGCGAGAAGTTTGAATTTGCGGGGCCCCTCGCCAAGATCAAGAAACCTACCGTGGTTCAATCAGGCATTGTGAGAAGTGCCCCCCAAAAAAGCTAAAGCTTAGAGAACTCCCGTTAGCTAGCCTTCGTGATGAAGAAACCTAGAACATGTCTGTCTCACCCACAGCAACAGGGAATCCATGACACATTTGGACAATGCGCAACTGATGATATTTGTGTTGACATGGAGGCGGCATCCAAAGTTGACCTTTTCCTTTTTGGTTGCCCTGCAAACCAATCTGAATGAAGAGGGATACAGGACCCTCAAAAAAGCAACAAAAGCACCATATTTACCTACCAGAAGGCGTTGTTTGTGTTGTTTTTCATTTTTTCTGCAACTAAGCCACAGAGCTGACAGGCCTCCATTTTACGATCCTTGGCGGGGGGGGGGGAGGGGGGGGAAGGTTTCGGGTAGAGGGCCTTGTGACAGTCTGGAGATTCGTGTTGCGTGACGTGGATCACACAGCTGGCGCAGAAAAGCGAATCCCACCCAAGACTTCGGATCTGTCAGCGCCTTTTGGGGCGCTCGCAGACTTCAAATGGCTTCCTAAAGCTTTCATTGAGCCACAAAAAGGGGCCTTCGCCTGGAACCAGTCCCAAGCTGCGGCGCAAGCGGCCGGTCTTTTGTCGGAGGCCGTGCGATGACCCACAAAGGTGGCCGTATGCCAAAGAACCTGCTCATGAACTCTTCCTTTTGCTTATTCGCCCCCCAGGTTAATGAGAAAATATGTCCAGTAGCGAAATCAAATCCCTTTGACACCAACAAGGAGGGAAACAAGTTGCCCAGTTGTTCTTGGCTGCTGTGGGGTACTTCGAAATATGCGTTCTTCAACCAATCAATCCACCATTTCCATCCACTTACTTTGCTACTTTGCATTGCTTGTACCTTAATTTATTGTACCATTCTTGGGAGCAAATGGTCTGTGTTCAGGAACAGTGTACGTCTCCAGCTGCATTTTCGGGAAGGCTAAACCGGATATATTGGGGTCAAGCCAAGCGAGCACGTTTACCGGGTCCAACTGGTTTTAGTATGCCCGCCCTGTAGTTCCCGTGTGCCTTTTGAAATCCCTGCTCTTGGGAAGATCAACGAATCCACATGGCGAAGACACCCCTCTTTGAGGCGCTTCGAGAGAGGCAACATCTCTGGAGGCCTCAGTGGCTTCCCTTGCAACCCTGGAGTTGGCTATGCAAGCGCACATTCCATGTGCCCGCAGAATTGCACCTACTGAGTGGAAGGACTAGGTTGTGGCAAACAGGGAGGTCTTCACTTGTGTGCGTGTGTGTGTTCATTCTTGAGGGTACTAAGGGTTGGCTCCCTTTTGATAACTGTTCGATTTCTTTCGCGCTCTGAGAAGAACATTCCCTAGATTCATCGAAGTGGGCGTCACTTACTGCTCTGCGGGTACATCTAAAACTCGAAAGATCTGTTGTGGACAACATCTCGTAGTTTGGTGGTTTAAGAGGGGTGTCCCATGTACCCTCTACAAAACCGAAAATTCAAATCCAAATCCAAACCACCAATCCAAACCACCAACAATGGATTATCTGAGAACCTGTTTGTTGGCTCCAAAGGAAACCCCAACTTCCCCCTTGCGGGCTTGATACCCACGTAAAAAAAGAAGAAAAGAACAAAAACACAAAAACAAGAAAAGAACAAAAACACGGAAAAAAAGAAAAGAACAAAAACACAAAGACAAGAAAAGAACAAACAAAATGAAAATAACAAAAACACAAAAAAAACAAAGAAAAACACACAAAAAAGAAAAGAACAAAAAAAAGAGAAAAAACAAAACAAAAAAAACCGAGAAACCACAAAAAAAGAACAAAAACACAAAAAAAGAACAAAACCACAAAAAAAAAGAAAAGAACAAAACACACAAAAAAAAAAAGAAAGAAAAGAACAACAACACAAAAAATAAGACAAGAACAAAGACACAAAGAAAAGAACAAAAACACAAAAAGAAGAAACGAACAAAAAACACAAAAAAAGAAAAGAACACCAACAAAAGAAAAACATAACAAACACACACAAAAAAAGAAAAGAACAAAAACACACAAAAAAAAGAAAATAACAAAACCACAAAAAAAGAAAAGAACCAACACACAAAAAATAAGAAGAACAAAAACACAAAAAAAGAAAGAAAATAACAATAACACAAAAAAAAGAAAAGAACAAAAAAAAAAGAAAAGACCAAACAAATGAACAACAACAAAAGAACAAAATAACAAACACACAAAAACAAAGAAACGAACAGAAGAAAAGAAAATAACAAAAAAAGAAAATAACAAAAACACAAAACAAAGAAAAGAACAAAAACACCCAACAAAGAAAATAACAAAACCACAAACAAGAAGAAAATAACAAACAACACAAAAAAAAGAAAAGAACAAAAACACACCAAAAAAGAAAAGAACAACAATACAAAAAAGAACAAAAACACAAAAACAGAAAATAACAAAAACACACAAAAAAAGAAAAGAACAACAACAAAACAAAAAAGAAAAGAAAAAACACAACCTGACGAATTACCTGATACAGCAACCGACAGGACTCCTGCATCGCTTTGCCGGCGTTGCTGCTGCAGCTGCAGCCCTGCTGGTAGCTGCCGCCTGCGCGGGAAAACAAAAAAACATGAGGGTCCTGGGCCTGGGGCAGCTTGCTCTTATTGGGTGGTTTGGATTAGTGATTTGAATTGGTGGATTTTGGTAATGTTCCCAATTGCCCTCAACAAGAATCAGCGGTTCAAGTTCACATCCTCAAATGCCAAACCACCAATTCAATCCAAAGCACCAAGTCAGGGCCACCAATCAAGAAAGCAATCCACCTCCTTGGGGGAAAACATCATCCAGTCCCTTCCCTGTGGGCTTTCTCCCTCTCTCCCTGTGCGCCATTCCGAAGGTCCAGCAGTTGGGGCGCCGCTGCACAGCAGCAAAAGCAGCCAACATTCCCTTTGGGCTTGCCTATGGGGAAAACAAACCCTTCTGGGCTAAGTTGAACTCGGTGCTAATTCTTAGACCTTGGCACCCTTCATGTGCCCTTCAATGGGGAGTGACGGACTGACAAATCTTGTTTTGTGTTCTTTTGAGGATACCCTTTCGAGGACAAAGGGAGACTGAAGGACAACCGCAATTTCAGTGGTCCCAACCACTTTGACCCATACCCATCTGAGAACCAAGGTCGGAGGACATGATCATCTCCGGAGGGTCCCGGTTTGAGCAATCACTCTTGGGACCGGCTTGCCCTGGGCCCAGCTGAAAATGTTCAGCTTCCTTCCTTTCAGCCCTGGGTCCCATGCAGAAATGGCTCCAGTGAATAAGGTCACCTATACAAATCAGAAAGTGGAACCCACTGGGGCCCCTTTCACCATGACCGCTAACTTCCGCAACTCCACGGTTGCACATGAAAACCGAATAGGGGCCATGGGATGAATCTCTTGGGATTGATGCCACCAGTTGCCCAGTGAACCTTTTTGGGAACCATTGAAATCTGAACAGCTGGGCCTCTCTAATGTCGATTTCTAGGCGTTTTGTTTCCCCGCAAGTGAAGATTTGCCTCTTAAAAAAAGGACCCCCCCGACTGAGCTTCTTAATTGCCGGGGTCGACAAAAAGCCTTGAAACGGCTGTTGGTCATTCACATCATCTTTCCAAAAGCAACACATCCAGAGCAGTCCAAACTTCTGCAGCTACAACAACACAAAGTAGCCAAGTCGTGCGAACAAGCAACGACTGCGCAGCAAGAAGCACATCAGCCGCCGCAAGTGTTGACACTTCGCAACACACCGGGTGAATCCCATGTTTTTAGGTTCCACATCAATCGGGTCGCATCATAATGATTCATCAGCCTGAAAGACGGCATTCCTCATCAGTCATCCATGAAGGCAATATGTATGTGCGCCTTTTGTGACCATTAAACATTGATTTGCACATTGTACCATATGTGCCAAACCTAAAATGAGCGCGCCATAAACTTTCTGCCGGTCTTCGCTGGGACAAAAAATAAAAGCGCGCCAGGCCCGCAGAACCAGGTCTTCTCCGCTGAGGAGCTGGTGGCTACGTCCAGGAAGTGCCTGGCCGTTGGGTGGAGGGTTGGCAATGGAAGTTCCAACTAGGTTTGCTACCCATGCAAAAAAACAAAAACAGCAATGCCATGCAAACCAAGCCATGCCCGACATGCGCAAACACGCACACACCCAACAGCACATGAGCCACATGAGTCAGTTGGTGTCAATGTCTGAAATCGATCGACCTCACTGAAACCTTGCTGCACGCAGTCTCTTCGCTATGCGGGTATGATTGTCAACAACTTGAAGGCTCCCAAACATGTGGCTAAAACCCGGGTCCTGAAAACGGGCACCCTCAAAAACAAATAGTCAAACACACACGCCCCGGTGTGAAGATCGACTTCACCATGACGAAGCGTTAGGCGCCAGAGTCAGAGGTCCGGACCACGACTGAAGCTCATTGTCCCAGTACTCCACCCAGTTGTGGTTGTTCAAGTACCTCACGCCAAGTGAGTCACAATCACATCCCGGTAGTAGAATGGTCTACCCAGAACCATGTAATTAGAGAACCGAAAGGCGGCTGCACCCAGGTCTGGCTGGGATTATCCCTTACGAACCTTCATCTACCTGGGATTTTGATTATGGCTCAAGTGGGTAGTATTGGGTAGGTATGAGTTGTGTGTTAACTACTTGAGGACCCGTGAGTGGACACAATGCATGTAAAATCATGCAAAGATGCGTACTTTCGATGACTGACGGAGATTCTTTGGGAGAGTGTTTCAAGGAAACCAACAAGCCAACAAGAAGTCTTTTTCCAGGGCGGGATATGGGTTTGACATGAGTTTAACTTGGGGATCCTTCGTTGGGTAATGTAGACGTATGCCGTGAACAGTTTCCGGAACCAAAACGATAGCCAAACCTTCCTCTAAACAATGCGAAACATGCAACCACCCATTCACTCATGTCCTGTGGGCGCACGGCGGCCATTGGCCGGCATTGCTTGGCAGTGGCATGGAACGGAGAACTCCAGGGGAAATTGATTGGACCCCCCACCCCCTCCTGAAGGGGTACAACCCCAACCAAACAGCCCTTTTTCAACATGTACACCAAGTTGTTTTTCCCGTGCAAAAGACGTTGCCCGCATGGGGCCATGAACAAGAGAGGGTGCCTGGGCTGCTAGGCCTCGCCCTTGGGGGGGTAGGAAAGGCACCAAGACTGGGGCTCGAACCATTAAATCAAAGGGGGGACAACAAAAAAACACTAGAATTTACCAAGGAAATTCATCTAGATTGAGTCGACCAAGGCCATTCTTTTGCAATTTGTTGGGGGCCAAGAACCCTACAAACCCAAGTTGAGGACGAAGCCGCGGTTCAATTGGGGGCTTTCCCAAGCCGCCCATCTCTCCCTCAGGCGCACTGGCCGCCTACCTGCGTAGAAGTGCCGCCCTGCCAGCACTGCGACACCTGGGAACACGGACGGGGCTGGCCTCCCGCTGCGAAACATGTGAAGTGGACTCCCCCTGCGCAGCCAAAAAATGGAAGCCCCAGCAAAAAGAGAGAAGCCAAACAAGAGGAAGTAAATTATCCATCGAGCAACCGCTTGGTCCCTTGCAAGTGCGAGATTAAGCGTTCTCCCTGCCGCTGACCCAGGCAGACAGGCAGGACCCACAGGCTCCCTCTGGAAAAAATAATCGAGCTGGCCAAATCTGGGCTGTCCGATTTGTTTCATCAATCATGGGTCCATTAAAGTGGCATCGAAACTATCCCCTACATGGTTTAAAGCCCTCCCCCCCAGAAGTAACTTTGAGAACCCTTAAAAATGCCGCCCGAGCAGGGTTCCTTCCAGGATACGTCACAAACAATCTGCTTTACAAGGGAATATTCTAAATCAGCTAGTAGGGGTGACTGCCGCACGATGTCGAACGCATCCTTGAAGGGACCTGGTTCAAGGGCGTAAGGGACCCTGTTTAAGGACCCCGCCTGATTGCAAATTTGACAGTTCCACCAGCTGAAGCAAGACAATTTTGAACTGGACCCCTTTCCTTTCGGTAAGCCTCGTCCACCACTTTTTAACCAAGGAACCCTCGGGACCTGTACAGCGGAATTTCTCGATCGCAGCTATGCATGAAGCCTCCATCTGCTCGCTGGGTCTCGGGCATTGGGGTTGCTAGTGGCGAGGCCTCGTGCCCGGGCGAGTTTCCACCGGCTCCGACGGGAGGTTTTCTGTGGGTTTTTCCCTGTCCCCACGAGCCGTCGAAAAAGAACAAAGGGTCTCAGACGAACGTTTTCACCGACCTTTCTTTGCCAATGGCCTCTCTCGTTTTTTCCTTCTTTTTTTCCGTAACTTGAGGCTCTTGACCCGGGGGCCCCCGTGGTGCGAATTGCAAGACAACACGTGCTTTCCAAAACAGTGGAAAAGCCATACTGCTGTAGTCCACGGAAATCACATTAAAAGTTGGGGCACCTTGAAACCATCGTGAAACTGAAGTGAACAGGTTTGATTTGCCGTGAACGACTTTGTTTTGGTGGGAGCGAGTTTTGTCCTAGTTAAAATGATTGATGTGCCCAAAATCCTCCAGGGGCATGTCCGGGCATGACACTGCCGTCTTGGGGCCTGAGACATGCACAGAGCCCAAGATGATGCGCAGCTCGATGCCCGCTGTCGCTGTGAAAATGGGCTTTGAAACAGACACCAGGAGGACCCCCAATCACCTCCAAGATCCAAGACTGCCCTTCTTCCCACAAGCGCAGCACCTGTGGGAAGGGTATCTGTAACGTCAGTTTCCTCTTGCAGGAACTCCCTGTCAAGTGCTATGCTAGTGAGAGGGGGGTATAATGTTTGAGCAAAGCGCCAGAGCTCGGCAGCCCTCAGAGCCCTTCAAACATTTCATGGCCAGCGTCACGAGCCCGCAGCCGGCGAAGATGCCAGTGTTCCAGCATGGCCTCGCGCATTGGGAGCTCCCCCACGCCAACATGGTGGTTTTGCTGTCGATTTCCGTTTGAAAGCTACCAAGAGGGGGGACCCTCAAACAAAAGACACGCCCAGTTGAATCTAGCTTCCCTGCTTCAATTTGCCGGCTGTAGAAGTGTGACGGACCTTCTGCGGGAAAACTGAAAGTGCAAGCTTGCCTCAAGGCCGGTACGTGGCCTTCACGGGTTCACGGCGCCCCTTGGCGTACTTCTTTGGAGAAAGCATGTAGTGTCCCTTGCTCAGATTTTGAGGGCCTGAGCCCCATATACCAATTATTTTCTTATTCTCAAGGTTTATCGGCTCTAGGAATCGCAAAAGTGAGTCACAATCAAATATGCCAAGATTATGTCAAGATTGTCTCTTGCAAGACATGGGACAAATTATCAGTCCCCTGGCTGTGGGAAAAATAGGTCTCGTTACGAAAACGTCCTGCCGAAATGGACCACAGCCTGGACAAAGGCAGGTCAAAAGGAATCCAGGCGCCGCCGCATTTTCCCAGGGAATTGAGCAAACACAAGCTGACTGTCGGTTCTTCGTTGCCCAACTGAGGGCCCCCGCGAGCCGACCTCTCTAGCAGGAACTCCCACCTTAAAGGCCGTGCCTTTTAAAACCCAAAGCCAACCCAAAACCAACACAAAACCAACACACAACCAACACACCAACAACAACACTAACACCACCACCACCAGCATCACCACCACCGTCACCACCACCGTCCCACCGTCACCAACACCATCACCACCACCATCACCACCAACCACCACCATCACAACGACTACCACCACCGCCACCGCCACCACCACCGCCACCGCCACCGCCAGCACCACCACGATCAACAGCAACAACCACAACCACCAGTTAACAACCCACAACCAACAACCAACAACCAGCAACCAGCAACCATCAAGCAACACCAACATCAACACCAACACCAGCAACAACACCAACACCAAAACCAACACCAACAAAAACGACAACGACAACGACAACGACAACGACAACAACAACAACAACAACAACAACAACAACAACAACAACAACAACAACAACAACAACAACAACAACAACAACAACGACCAACAACCACAACAGCAACAGCAACAGCAGCAGCAGCAACCACATCAACAAAACCAAACAACAAAAGACAAACAACAAAGCACAATAATAAGAACAACAAAAACCAAAAAGACACAAAAACAAAACGATACAACAAAAACAACAGGAACAACAAGAAGAACAATAACAAGAACAACACCAACAACAACACCACCACCAACAGCAACAACAACGACAACGACAACGGCAACAACGACAACAACGAAAACAACGACAACAACGACAACAACGACACCAACGACAACAGCGACAACAGCGACAACAACAACAACAGCAACAACAACAACAACAACAACAACAACAACAACAACAACAACGACAACGACAACGACAACGACAACGACAACGACACCGACACCGACACCGACACCGACAAAGACACCGACACGGACAACGACAACGACAACGACAACGACAACGACAACCACAACCACAACCACAACCACAACCACAACAACAACAACAACAACAACAACAACAACAAGAACAAGAACAAGAACAAGAACAAGAACAAGAACAAGAACAAGAACAAGAACAAGAACAAGAACAACAACAACAACAACAACAACACAGACCAAATCACAAAAAACAAAGCACAAAGAACAAAGAACAAAGAACACAACGCAAATCACAATAACAAGAACAAGAACAAGAACAAACACGACAACCACAACAAGAACAAGAAAAAGGAAAAAGAGCAAGAACAATAACAATAACAAGAACAAGAACAACAACAACAACAACAACAACAACAACAACAACAACAACAACAACAACAACAACAACAACAACAACCCCAACGACAACGACGACGACGACGACGACGACGACGACGACAACAACAACAACAACAACAACAACAACAACAACAACAACAACAACAACAACAACAACAGCAGCAGCAGCAACAAAAACAACCCCCCAACCACACAAACACACAAACACACAAACAACAAACAACAAATAACGACCCCACGCACAACGCAACACACAGAGGACAACAAAAAACAAACAACACACAACAACCTGAATCACAACGCAACAAACAAAAACACAACAAGAAGAAGCACAACGCAACAGAGACACACAACAAACAACAATAGAAAAAAGAACACACAACAACAAACAACGACCACAAGTGCAGCGCAACAAACAAAAAAAACAACAGACAACAAACAGCGAACAACAACCAGAAGCAACCCGGAACAAACAACACACAGCAAACAACACAGAATGACCACAAGCAAAATACAACAAACAACTGACAACAAACAACACACAGCAGCCGGACGCACAACCCAACAAACGACAAACAGCAACCAGAAGCACAACGCAAAAAACAACAAACAACACACAACACACAACAAACACAAGCACAACCCAACAAACAAACAACACACAACCAGAACCACAACGCAACAAACAAACAGAACACACGACAAACAACACACAACAACCAGAAGCACAACACAACAAACAAACATTTCAAACAAAACAAACAACAAACTACAGACACCAACCAGAAGCACAACACAACAAACAAACAATTCAAACAAAACAAACAACAAACTACAGACACCAACCAGAAGCACAACACAACAAACAAACATTTCAAACAACACAAACAACACACTACAGACACCAACCAGAAGCACAACACAACAAACAAACATTTCAAACAAAACAAACAACAAACTACAGACACCAACCAGAAGCACACCGCAACGAAAAAAACAAACACAAACAACGCACATCAAACAAAGAATCCACACCAACAAAAAAGCGCCACGCAAGAGGGCTCCTTTAAGGGATAGATGCCAAGGCGCAGCTCGCAGGGCAGAGGCTAGGAACTTGGCCCAGGCCTTGGGTGTTTTCGGGTGTCTCGGGTGTCGGGGGCGGTGAAGGGAGGGTTTTTTTGGGATGTCCCAATGGGCCAATGGGCCTGTTTCTAGGGGAAACCCCAGTTTTTTTGTTTTTTTTGGGGGAAATTGGCCTCATCCATGTTGGTTGACCAGGCCTGTTGGTTAGGGAAGTCCCTTTGGACATCCCAAGGGAAAGCCCCCCAAAGGTTTCCCCCGTTCTTCGGGAAAGCCCCGCATCTGTTTGGAAACACCGGTCTTGTGCTTGTTTGGTTTGGGAACCCAGCTTTGTTCTTTAGAGGGAAAGCCCCCCCTTTTGTGGAAACCCCTGTTTGGTTGGTTTGGAGGGAAAGCACATTGAAGGGTCACCCAGAGGTTCAAGGGAGTCACAATCAAAACCTGGTACACAAATGGTGAACCCAGAGCCAGGTAAAGAAATAGAAAGGCAGATATCCGCAACTATTTCCGGCTGGGACTGCCCCTTGCTAACCTTCATCTACCCGGGTTTTGATTGTGGCTCAAATGGGCCTGCACTTAGAGAAAGCCCCCCCTTGGTGGAAACCCCTGTTTGGTTTAGAGGGAAACAAAATGGGAACCCAGCCTCTTTGTTTTTGCTGTGCTCCATTATTATCTTTTCAGATAGAAGGGTCACCCAGGTGGCAGGTTAAAGGGAAACACCCCCATTTGCTCGTAGCTGTTTGCTATGAGTTGGGGATTCAGGTTTAGGCTTCAGTAGGTTTTAGGGTTGTTGGACCAGAAATCCTGCAGAATTCAATCACAGTGGGATGGAAGAAGCCCTTAGGGTTTAGTAGACTTGCCACCCCTCGTTCACTTCAATGAGGTTGGGGTCCAACAGGTTCTGACGTGCTCCCACAGGACCACCCTCCCTGTTCATTTGCAATTTTGTTGGAGGAAGATACACGTTTCCCCTGGAAGCTTTGGGCAGCTTAGTCTGGAATACTGCATCTGTTTCCCCCAATAAAGAACTGCCCCCCATTAAAGAACTGCCCCCCATCAACAAAAACAAGAAAAGACAAGAACAAGACGGATTGGAGACTCTCTACTAGTACTTGGGGTCAGAAGCAAGAATCGCGTATTGGTATAGACTTGGCCTAGTCTAAAATAGTATTGGTGACTTTTTATTTTGGAAACACATTGTTTACTATAAGGGGGACTTTGATTCCTAGGGGTAAGAGTTGAGTGATTCTCCCCCCACGCAGCTGAGGTTAGAAGCTCACAAGTGAGAGGTTTGGGGGAAGCGGTGGGCGCCTCCTTCTAGGCCAGCGAGAACTCGGCATGCTGGTGGACAACATCCAGTTCACGGCAGTTGGTGCGTGGTTTATCCCCATCGAGCAATTCTCTAGTCATCGGGTTTCAGGAATTCATTCATTCCACTGGAGGGGCATTAAACGCTAAGACCTAGTGAACCCTACACCTGAACCCACACCCCAAACCTGAACCCTAAGGGTTTCTATCCATCTCACTGGGATGGAACTTTGTAGGATTCCTGGTCCAACTTTGGCACCTGGCATCCCCCTTGCCAGATCTTGCCAGGATGATTTGGCACATAGTGGACGCTCGACTCAGGCGATAGACATGTTGTAAGTGGGGCGTCTATTGTAACTAGAAGGTGTCCTTCCTACTTCAGGATCCCGCGACTGTTTTAGAGGTCTTCAAGTATAGGAAGTTTTGTCCCGAGAGCAAATCCAGGCAAATCTACAACTTGCCTTTTACTTTTACCGGGTGGTTTGGCTAAGTGGATCTAAATGGACACCACATTTTGCAAATGGTCCCCAAACCGTCCAATTTCTAGGCTGGTCGAAATCCTGGGGGCCGAAGAGCAATCCGTAATCCGCTTAATCCTTGTGTTTGGTATCCCTCCAAGTCCTTACTCTGTGCCGCAAGCGTTGGGCAAAATCCTATATTGGAGCAGGGAAAAGGCGTGCACCCCATAATCGCAACCCGCACGCCGCACAAGCTGCTCCGTCAGTAAACCGCACAATCCAATCCGCGAATCATTGGGGATTAGGTCTTGAACAAGCTAAATTCCGCCTTGAAAAAACACTAAGCTCTTCCCAGCACGAGGAATCTGAGACCAAGCCTTGGCAATGCTAAACTAGGCATTGGGGAGTGCAATCACCAAGAATTGCCTGCCCACTCTTGACTAGGACCTGCTCTTGACTAATTGGCATATACCCCCTTTCTCGTTCGCAAGCAGCTTGACTCTATGCCATTGGGCCAGCACAAGTCATGCATGCGTCCTTACCGCCTTGGAAGAATCGGGGTGAACTGTATTCATTCACAATCTGAGATCAGGGTTCCCGAAAGAAGCCTTGATTGAAATTCCAGGCCCCAACTCTTGGTCAACATCTTTGCAGAAGCCACCGGTGTTAATCCAGAACTTTGTTTACTCAAGTTGCGAAAGCAGGCCAAAGATGTATCAAAGGTCTGCTCCACCATGCACACCCATGACGCCTTTAAAACCCCTGCCAATGCCAGAGGAATCACCATTTGGGGCCCATGTTTTGCCAGTTCACCGGGGGGTACTAAACAGTCACCACATTTTACTCGTTGCCTTCGATGCGGTCCCCAAGTCGGGGCCCCTGGGAGCAGCGGCCGTGCAGCTGCCGTAGCCATAGAGCAGAAAGTCCGCCGGGGCCACCTGAGCCGCATGAGTCGCAAGTCAGCCGGCAGAAGGGAATCCGAATCCCCAGTACCCGGGTCCCAACCGCTGCTTTTCGCAGCTGGGTTTTGTTTTTTGACATGCGAAAAAACTAGTTCTTGGGAGGGTGAAGGCCTGAATCCCCATATGCTTCACATACCTTGACGTTCGATCCCCAAATTGGGGAAGCCATGGGCGCCTTTGCCTATCCACGAATCTAGGAATCCCTCATGGATTTGTCTCAAGATACATTGGAACCGGCCAAACCGGTGGTGTCCTTCGTGTTTCTTTTGGAGAACCACTCCCCAAAAAGGGCACCCTCGTAGACACGCCCTCCAAAATGGCCGAGCCTTTGCCCTTACGCCAAGTGGCCACCGGCGGGGTAGACCCAGACGCGAAAGGCCCCAGCTCCTGCCATCTTGAAAACTCGTGCAACAAAAACACGCGAGGCCTCGCTTCTGCCAGAATTTCCGGGGAAGGTTCTGCCACAAAGCTTCCCTCATCCACCGCTTCCTGCTTGGTGCAGTCCTCTCCCGTTGTTGGCAAAGGACCGTGGACAGCAAAGGCAAAATGCGTGCTGTTTTCTTCCGGTGCTGGAGAGGGCCGAACAAATGTCAGCATACAGTGTATTATGGAGGGGGGGCTTGAAGAGGATGCCCTTAGCTCGTCAGACCGTGACTGTATTGACACAACATGTAAGACTTGAGGGTAAAAGAGCATCTGAATGAGTTTGATCCTGAGTGTGGCTACCAAACCACGGGTCCGATCAAGAGGCTCTCGGCATCTTGTGTGCGTGGCGTTTTTCTTTGAAATGTCCAGCTGATTGAGCTTGCGCAGGCCACAAACCCCATGGGTATCCACGAGATTTCTGCTTTGTTTGCCCTTTCAGGTTAGGGGACACCAGAAGAACCCCAAAGGAAACCCCCCCCCCTTCCCCCACACACCCTACACCCAAAATCGACACAAATCTGTGGGGCTCAACGTGCCCTAAGCGCCCCACGTAGACGTTCGCGGACTTGCCGCTGTATCCGGGCCACCTGTCGGCCGACTCGGCCGCGCCGAGAGCCACTGGTTCTGGCCAGTTCCGCCGGGTTCGGCTTTTGGGGGGGTAGTTGCCGAAACAAGTCTTGCAACAGAAAGGCAAGCGTGCCTCGACTGTTGAGTATCGTTGGCTTTGAAGGAGGCGCGCCACCGCTTCCCGCAAGTCTCTCAATTGCGAGCTTCCCCCCAGCCTCAGCTGCATTGGGGGGGAGGGAGAATCACCCATCCCTTCCGCCTAACAAGTCTTGGGGGCATGCCAACTCAATTTTGCAACTTAGGGAACGAGGAACACCTCTATTTTTGTTTTATCGTAATTTACCATGATTTTGTGGTACAGGGTGGGATTTACTCACAAATTTAGGCATCCACCGCATCTTCCCCACAGCTGGAAAAGACATACCTTGGGATCGAGTTGCAAAAGGGCTCTCCACAGTCAGCCTCTGTGGGCAACCCGTGCACTTTATCACGGGCCTCCGGTAACATCCGCAGAACTTGCCATGACCATGAATGATATAGAGCTCGGACCTGTTGAAGGGCCATGACCACACGGATTCGCCAAGTGGCCATCTGAGAGCATGTACCCAACTGCACAACCAACATGTCAAACCGCGCCATTGGTCCGGCTACTTGCCCTCCTGACAATCCACTTGCAACCCAAAGCGCACACCCACCTTTCCCTTGCCTCCATCTCATGGGTTGCCACCCCCCCCCCATTTTTGTTGGCCGGGAGCAACCCCTAGTTGCTACTAGTTGCTACTAGTTGCTACACATTCATAAACCTTGTCCTTAGAGAACTCCTGCTAGCTCCTTGTGACTCCCTCTGAGGCAAATTTGGATAGCCCCCAGCTCCTTGGCCCGGCTCCCGTCCACCAGTTAGTAAACCAATGCCCTCGGGATGCGCGAACCTGAGGACGTGCGACATGCCAGCAAACCACGTCTGATAAGCCAAGCCGGGCGCCTGAAGGACGTCCAGTTCATAAGGCGCACCCCGTCGCTAATCAGCGCATCCACCTGAAGTGGCGTTCTTGCTTGTTCCGTTTCTGTAGTTTAAACGGTTGGTTTAGTGCTGGCTTCATTTGAAGCAACCCCTCCCCCCCCAAAAAAAAACGTACCCTCAAAAACAGGGCGCACCCACGGCAGGGGCGAAACAATGACACTTTCTTCTCGGAAAAATTGTTAGGCAAGTTGGTTGAATAGCACTTCACGACCTCGTTCTTGATTTGCTAGGCCCTTATAGTACCCCCTGCTGCCATTTGATATGGAACCCAAAAAGGGCGCCGTTATGGACAAAGAGGTTCCATGTTGATCTGAAGCTTTTTCAAACAGCCAGGAAAAAACGAAAACCAAAGGAAGCGGCTGGCTTTGAAAAGAAGCCTGCTTGAACATGTGTCTCAAAATGCAAATAACGCCACAAAAAAACGGTGGTCTTCTCAAACATTTCCCCTTTTTAAGCTTACCTCCAATTGGTGGTCTGGATTGGTGGTTAGGTGGTGTTCCAGAGGGGTTTCCCATTCACCATCCACGAAAAAGAGTTCAAATCCCCAAACATCCAAACCACCAATCCAAACCACCAACCTGACCTCAGATGCCTCGTGGCCAGGGGGAACAAAGGGCATTTGTTGTTGGTTGGTTGAGTTTAAAGGCAACCCTTCCCCAAAAAACTAAAAAAAATAAAAAAAAAAAAAAGCACCACTGGGCAACTGGGTGCCCGGTTACCCAAGAAGGGTTCCCTCCAAAAATTCAACGAGCCATGAAGAACTGAAATCTGGTGCCGCCTTCACCATGAACTCGAGGAAACTGCAGTGATCGCTTTTGGGGTCCCCATGTCCCCAATTGAACCCTCTGCTTTACAACCCTTGGTATGGTGCAAAAACTATTTTTTTTTGCAGCCCCACGAAAAATGAACAGAACCAAAATACCTGCAAACATGTTAAAGACAGTGAAGACTACTAGACTACCAGTCATTTTTCCCGAACCTGTGAGTCAGAGTCTAAGTTTGGTCTCAGGCGCCGGCGACGCCTCGGCCTCAGACAAGGTGCCACTTGCCACCCCTACACAGACCCAGTTGGACTCATGAAGGTCCTTTTTGTCATGATGCTGTGGCTCATTTGGGGTCGGTTTGCATCATTTGGTCTTCTGCATCTAGCACCTTAGCGCCACGGAATTTGCGCTACGTGACCCCCCAGTAAAGCGCGCAGTCTCCGGCCCTCAAGCTCACGGCTACTGGTCTGCGAAGCAGCGAGGGCAAAGTACTTGGCAAAGAAGGGCGGCCGCCAATTGGTCCCTGAGACGGCGAGGGCGCTTTGGCGTAGTCTTAAAATAAGGAAGCCCCTAAACATCCCGAATCTGAGAGCAACTCTTAAAAGAACATCTCACAGCCAAAAAAAGACACCCAAAATGCATCCCAAGACTCTGAGAAGGAAAGGAACATGGATGTGGCGGCAGGGTTGGGCCTGTCCAAACATGCGAGCGTGTTGAACCATGTGGGTCTCCGTTGGTTTGCCTGACAGCCGGTCTTTCCCCGGGGATTGAGGCGAAACGCGGGCTTCGTGATAGCTGGCGTAGGGCAGCAGGTACGGAAAGACCACCGGGAGCGGCGGCCTGGCGCCAGATTGCGAGTGGGGAAGAGTGGCGGTTTTTCTTTTAGGGGGGTATATGGCTGTGGGTCAAAACCAGTGGTACCGTTTTGGGGTAGGTGCACCACCCATTTTAGAACCTATTTTAGTTGGGATTGGGATGGTCACTGGGGGCACGGGCTTTTCACGCATGGTCGTATCTCTCTCCCTCCCTGCCGCACCAGCCGTAAGCCGTCCACCAGAGGTGGGGTGCAACTAATTTTGGGATCAAATGACCCCCCAACAAACAGGTTCCCCCACCCTCCATGCATTCATTGGTGGGGATAGCCACGCGGAATATGGCAAGCGTTACAGGGCAAGCATATGAATACTCAACAAGGTTACCACCAAAAACAGGTAGGGGACTAGCCCAAAGGCGACGCTTGTCGATAGGGCCACCCAAAACCGACACCCAACGCACCACACATTCATGTTGAAGGCCCGAAAGGGTCCCGACTCTACGCCCCCAACTGCACTATCGCTTTTCGAATGGATGGTACTCATGGACCCTACATCCTGCATGAACAACTATCAAGGAGGGATCTCCCAAGTACAGGAACTCCGTGAGCTCGGGGTAGATTTTTGTTTCACTCGTGCATCTTCAAACTCACCTGAATTCCTGTGTTTGAGCCACTTGTGACATAAAAGAAAAAAGGGAAAAACAACTTGGCAGCGATGGCCCTAACCAAGCGCGTGCCAAGCGCACCAGGCCGAGCACTTGCACTATGCCTAATTGGTCGCATGGCTCGCTGACGTCCCACGGGCTGTCGGAAATTTGCCCCAAACGCGTCGCCAGTCCCAAGGGGCGAGATACACACTCGCAAGTCGCCTCTGGGGGATCGACGATTCAGAACTGGACTAGGGAGGCATTCCATGTCACCTCGCCAGGAGCCGATCCCTCCGGAGTCAACAGTAACCACGCCAATAGCCTGCCTCGGGGTTAGCTTGGAAGCGTTCCATGCCTCAAGCGCCAGCAACCAAGCTCGGTCCTGGCTTAAGGGCGAGACAGCAAGGGTAGGGCGCGAAGTATGTTGGTGCGCGCTTCTCGGGAGGAAACAAATCCCAAGTAGAAAAAAGACACAAAAGCGCATGCAACCCTCAGGTTGCGTCGGAAAGAAATTAAGCTATGGGCACCATCTGCACGCCTGGGACCCGCGCCATGAGGGCGAAAGCGATGTTGTCGTCCAACATGGAGGAGCCTTCCACCGAGACGGCGCCTGACAGGCCGGCAAAGGCTGCCCTTCCGTTGGTCCAAAAAAAACGCGGGACTACCTGCGGATGGACGGAATCCGTTCGCACCACCTTTGGCAACCTTGGGCAATCAGTGTTTGTTGGTATATTTACTACAGGGAATCAGCATTCCAGGGTGTCTTCGGAGGTGCAGGATTTCGCCCACCCACAGTATCACAACTCCCTTTGTGGTAAGCGAAGGGGAGAACTCCTTTTTGAAATGAAGGGCAAAGGTACCAATGCTTCCAAAACAAGCAAGAACATAACCCTTTCCATGAAGGACGCAATTTGATGATGCGGAGGTCACATCTCCCAACACCCAGCCGGCTGATGTTGACGAAAGTGTTCGAAACTGGCAGTCAACCACTGCTTGCATTCCAGGCCGCAGAACCGAAAGGATTTGCGCTCTTATCCCCCCGGCATTGACTGCACCAATATGCACCTGCATTGAACAACAGCCGTGCCTGGAAACTACAGCTGAAATTGGACAACCCGTCTTTCTGAAACACCCAGACGCAGGTAGCATTTTTCTTATGCACCAGGCTTAAGCTAGATGTCTATCCTAGGCTCGCAATCAGGCGATTTGTAGCCCAGCTTCAGGTTGGTTGCCCCTTTTCACCCAAAAGCATGGGCCAACGGGACACAAAAGTTCATGCCCCGCATGTGAAACTTGCACGTGCCAGTGGGTCCAAACAGAAGGCCATCTTCGCATGGCAGAAGTAGCCGACTCCCAAAGGCACCAAAGCCCTTTTCGCACCCCTTTTCTTGGTGGTTCCCGGCCATCCCCTTAGGTTGTCAGGCGTTCAGGGTTTAGTAGTTTTCCACTATATAACGCTCGCCATTAAGAATTAAAATTTTAGCAAAGGATTGAAGGGGAACAGCTCAGTTTAAAGTTGAGTGCGGCTCCAGGGCACCCATACTTTGAAAACGTATGATAATACTTTACAATCCTCGTCGTGGTGGCAAAAACTGTGCTTTTTTGCAGCCCCCTCTAAAACTGAACAGAACCAAACACCTAAAAACCAAACAACATGCCAACAACGGTGAATGATATGTAAAACATGTGGAAGACAAGCCCAAGCCATCACTGCCTGGGAGGAATTGAAGGTCGAAGCTGGGCATGTGGCTCAGCAAGAAGTGCCTCGGAGATGCCACCTGACTGAATGTCAATCGGGGCCCCTTTCTTGGTTGACGTTGGAAGGGGAGCAAAAATTTAAATTTTAGCAATTAAGTGGTTCGATTTTCCACTAAGCCACAAAAAGCAAAAATGTACTGTAACATGTTTCCCAACAACAACCATGCTTTTATGGACCTCCGAACTGCAGAGCCGTTCCTTCTCTGCCGCCTCCAGGTTGATGTGTCGGCGTGTTTTCTTGGAGGTGCCGCCTTCAGGTTGACCCGTATGTTGGATTGTTCTTTTTTGAGGCGCAAGGGTTGTCAAGTTGGCGGCCGGGCTTTCCCACTGAGAGGCTGAAGTAGACAAAACCCGCCCCCACCAACCCAGATTTGTGTCAAACGCCACGCTGCAAGACTGAATTAGAATTTCAGCCTCTTGGACCCCAAGCAATTTACCAATCGGCCGTGCAATCAGCTCCTTGGCATTGGGCTGCCAAGTCAAGTGCGAGATGTTCAGAGAAGAATCAGCCAGCGCCAAAGGTTTGACTGGTATGGACGCTCCCCGTGTTTTCATCCGAGCCCCTTTTCCGCCCAACTCCCAGCCGATCCGATCGATCCGATCGATAGATCCGACAAATTCGGCTCGGAGCGGATCGGCCCCTCCTGGCAGTGCACCAGGTGAGCTCAGAGGCCTCTGCCCAGTCCACCTCAAAGGCCTCAGCGCTTTTGGGGTCCCATGCCCCTCCCCGCCAGCCGGGATCAGGTGCCCCTGAAGTGAAGGGCCAGCTGTTCAATCGGATCAAAATCAGCTGGAAACCTAGCCTTTTAACCGGAAAGGCGGACGCCTCAGGCCTACTTTGCAGCCTACAGGCGTTCCAACCCTTGGTATGGTAGCAAAACCCGGTCTTGTTTCAGCAGCTACTCAAAATGAACAGAATCCAAACCGCAAACCTAAAACAGGCCAACGACTGCGAAGTCAGCGCAGTCAGTGAAGTAGCTATAGGGTAGATAAATTCTATCCGCTCATGGCACCCCGTCCTCCCCAGCCCCAAAGGAAAGGATCTTAAGGAGGCTTGTTCTCGTGGGGTCTGAACAGCTTTCTGTTGCAGATATGGGTCTCGTGTTGTTCTTTTCTTTTCTGGGGGTTTGGGGGGGGGGGGGGGAGTTGGAGGTTGCAGAGTAGTGTGTGGTTGGGCACCCTACGGAAACATGGCTTTCCTTTGATCCTCACATGGCCGTGCCGCAGGGACACGCTTGCAACGTGCCAAGGGCTTCTGCATGCTCAGTTTGCTGGAGAACCGCGTCCAAATCTACTCATTTCCTCAGTGGACTGGCCCAAAAAAATACCAAGCTTTTTGCTTGCGACTAAAATGGTCTACTCGAAAAGTTTTAAGTCCATGAACTCAGGGAGTGAGTGTACGTGCCCTTCTAAGCAAGGCAAAGGCATTGAAGCCTTCCAAAGACTGAGCCGATCCGGTCACAAGTTTGCTTGCATTGCGCTGACCAAGAAAGACGCACTTCAAGGTAGATGTGCTGAACAGGTGAACTGCTCGTTCGGTGGAGGCAAATTTATGAGATATCCCGGGTTCCCATAGACCAACACATTGGTAAAGGTTTTGTACCATCCGGCCCATTGTATTGGCGCGCAGGTCGACGTCTTGCCGATACGCCCGCCCCCCCCCCCCAGTACATAAATTAAAGCGTCGGCTTCAGCAGCTTTCTCCCAAGCTACGGGTCAATATGAAGCTCACTACAGCCCTTTTCCGTTAAAAGTGCACTTGCGCAGCCCCGAGCGCTGTGCAAGCTTCACAAGCTGAATAGTTGTGTCTAATTAAGCGATCAAGACTGCAAACAACGCAATGTACATCTAACATTATGCCAACTCAATATGTATGAATATACATTAAGCGGATCGCGCGCATGATGCCTAATGCGATGTTGATCTGGCTCAAGGCAAAATTAGAATCGTCAAACACACGCACATACTAACCAGAAAAATACCCCCAAAAAAAAACAAGCTAGCTTATATAAAACTCAGGCGACAGAGATGGAAACCTGTCGGCACACAATTTGCAAGCAAATAAAGTGTTGGTCGCCTAACCTTCAAAACTAAAAGCTTGGAAGCTGAACACATGCCAAAGTCCCAACACGCCTGGATTTTTTGCGGGATAGAGACATGGGCATACGGGTCCCGCATCCCGGACCAAGGCTTCTGCCCCCTGCCGGCAAACCACCTCCAGACCTTCAAGCTCACAGGAGCATGCCTGCCAGATGGGCAGGGAAGGGCCTGACTCCCTGAAAGGGGTGCCGAAGTTGCATTTTGCCTCTCAGCATCGCCCCATCGCCCCACGCTCACAATTAGCTTCCAAAGAACGCTCACTGCTCTTGTTGGGCAACCTAAAGTCCTTGTCAAACCTGAGGAAATACTGTAACACGGGGAACCCCGTGCGGCGCCACGTTTTGAAAAGCCCCTTTTGAGTCCAATGAGTCTTCAACGGGTCCCCAGCCTGAAAACGGGTGGCCCTAGGGTAATTCCTATCCCAACGGCCTGCCATCACCCCATTTTGATACAAAACAGCGAATGGGGAAATCTGAGAGATGTAGGGGTGGTCACACCCTCAGCTCAACTTGGCTTGTCAGTTTTTGAAGACACTTTTCGGGAAGCCCGCATTATTTGTGGTTGCTTTGCGGTCCATGGCGATTTGAAGGGGAGCAGTAAGAGCCATCACTGCTTCTGAACCTAACTACGGCCGTTTCAAGGAAGTGCCTTGAACCATTGGGATGAGAGGCGCAAGGCTCCATATGTGGGTCGTGCCTCAAACCTGCGAGAAAAACCTGCCTTAGGGCCACAACCCAACAAACCAACCAGCCAACCAACCAACTACTGCAGGCGCTGCTTTTCACACGTTTAACGCGGATCCTGGAAGCACGCCGGGCTTCCAAATCTATGAGCTTGCTGTCCAAGCTGCAGGGAACGTGATCGTATTCGATGTAAGCAGTTTCTGTTTATCCACCCCTTTAAGTACATTTTGCTTGAGGTTTAAAGTGCAGTGTTTCAGCCTGCGTGAAAGGACCAACCAACCGACCAAGCAAGCAAGCAAGCAGGCAAGCACGAACGCGCGCACGCAGGCAGGCAAGCAAGCGCACACGCAAAGCAGGCAAGTCAAGGCAAGTCAAGGCAAGTCAAGGCAAGTCAAGGCAAGTCAAGGCAAGTCAAGGCAAGTCAAGGCAAGTGAAGGCAAGTCAAGGCAAGTCAAGGCAGAGCAGGCAAAGCAGGCAAGGCCTGGCAAGCTAAGTTGAAGCAAGCAAAAGCAAGCACGCAAAAACAACAAGCGACCAAGCAGGGGCACTCTGGCAAGCAAGCCGGCAGGCAGGCAAGCAAATGCACACAAGCCAAGTAAACCAAAAGAAAACAAGAACGATGCAAAGCAGCACATGGCTTTCCGGCCTCCCCTAGCCACAATGCAGGCCGCTTGAATTTGCGATGCTGTTGCCCCGTTTTGCGGACTGATCCGAACAGCCTGTTGGTTGAAAGGCCTAAACGCGTCCACCCTTTGGACTGATGTTTTTAAGCCCCCAAAAGATAACATGTCAAGTGAGAGCTGCCATTGTCCGACTTTCCCAAACTCGCCTGCATCTGCTTCCGGATCCAGTCTGGATACCTGGCGGCTAAACAGACCAAAAGAGAAGAAGAGAACAACACTGCGCGCTGGCTCTTCCCCTGAACGTGAACATGCCTCGCTCAAAGTCCAAACAAAAACTCTATGGGTCTTTTCTTGGGGGATCGATCCAAATTTGCGGAGTTGATGGGCTACCCGAAACACACAAGCCCGAAACTGGGACATTGTCGGGGACAAATCCATGATGCCATGGGACGTGACCAGGACGAATGCTACACGGGGATTCCCCTGGCATAGGGCCGAAAAATGCCAAAAACCTCCCCAATGTACAAAAAAGGGTTGGGAAACGAAGGCACCAGGAAAGTCTATGTTTTTGAGAAAACCACCATTCTAGAAGAGGAGGGGTCTCTAAAAAGGACACCCCCATATCACTTCCGTACCACATTGGTTGCTGTTGACCCCTCTGCAAATAGTGTAACTTTTGTTAAAGTCCAACCAAATAGCCATAAAGTTATCATCCAACCATATCTAACACAGCTTTTGGTCAGTTTGAAGGGTGGCTTGTTTTTCTGGATGGGACCGCATCCCCAAGAGCCATGCCTTTTTGTTGGCGCGTTTGCTGCTTTGGTGTGCAGTAAGAGCTTGGCTTACTGAAGCAACCCGAAAAGGATCGGCTCCGATGTTCTTTCCCGGAAGGCTACACATCCCTCCCCACCTTGACCTGAACATATCAGCTCCCACTTGAATTTGCTTGACCTTACCTCAGCTTCTCCTCACACCGTCCATTCGTTTGAACTTACCTCACCTTGCTCCCATTCGGCGCCTGAAGCTGTCGTGGCCAAAGTTCTTCAGCCAGTCCTATTGACGTCAAAGAACGTCAATGGACGCCAAAGGGTTGTCAATTTTCCGGCCGCTTCCTTTTGTACCACAGGGAGCCTTGGACAAATGGAAACCTGGGCTCCTCTTTGGCTTTCATTTGCAGACAAGGCTTTGGGTGAGCCGTGTTCGTGTTCTCAGGCGGCGTTCCTGGGCCCCAAAGAAACTAAACTACCCGAAACCTCGAGTCGCACGTCAAAAGAACATATCCGGAATGAAACGACATGAAGGGAAGTTGTTCGTTTCTTTCATCGCAAAAGGTGTTCTCTTCCCCTGGAAACCTGGGTTTTGAGTGGCCTCCCCCTTATATAAGGGCCATGACCCGGCCGATCGGCGGAGTGCCCCTCGAAACCCGCTCCTCCCAGGGCTGGCCATGCGCCACCCAGATCAAGGCGACCAAGCACCGCATGATCTGCATGGCTCACAAGGCAGGCCCCGGCAGCGATCGCGGGGGCCTTCTGCGCGAGAAGTGCGACTGGGCTGCTTGACATGTGGCGTTCTTGGCTTAGCAAGTCGTGGCTGGAGTTGCGAAAAGCGAATTCACGCATTCTCAAGTCCGACTGAAACTCAGCCAATGCCTGCGCCAGGAGACAATCTGAGCCAAGGGGGGACACATGCACTAGTTGTTCCTGGCGCTTGCTTGTGCTCTGGCGGTCGTGTTTTACGATTGGAGGATCGCCTGCGCAAATAAAACATGAAACAGGCAGTCTGTCTCATGCGCGGGCTTGAGCGGACGAGCATGCTCCAGCACTTTTTTGTCGGGTGCGGATGCCGCGGATGTGCTGACATGCGCGGACGCAGCTTAGCTCTAAGCTGCAAGCTAGATAGGATCGGAAAGTATAACAGCGCATCGCCTGAAAGGCGGCCGCATCTCAGCTCCTTGAGTCAAGAAAATCATCGGAACTGGAGAGCGTCCACCAGAAATACTATCAGGCATCAAAATCGAGCCCGTTTCGGGCGTTGGCATCTTCGAAGATCCGCAGGGAGGGAGTGCTCTTTGAGAGACCCCCTGCGCGAGTCTGTTGCTGATTTGTGCCGGGCGCGAGAGAAAGACACCTTGACCTCGTTCATGGCCCAGTGCTGAATCAAGTAATCCTCTGATTCCCTCCTGCTTGATGTCGTTGTATCAGTGCTCATGTTTGAGAACACCTTTTGTTGGGGTTGTTCAAGCTCAAAGCCAAAGGAAAATCATGGAGGTCAGAGGCCAAGACATGGGCAGTCGGCAAGGTGAAACAATGCATTCCGCAAGTCCCCATCAAGCACCTGCGCTCAACACCGGCCCGTGCAAACTGTTTAGATAAGGCATTGGGTGCCCTTCTCAGAGGGCGTAAAGGTAAGCCAAAAGGCAAGCTGAAATCCATGTTCGGGGTCCAACCCCCTCATTCCCCAGATAGCTGAAAGCTATAGGGGTTCTAACTTCTAATAAAGAGGGGGAAGTGATTTGCGAGATTGATGGGCTGGTGCTAAGAGGCGTGCAGTTTGGGGTGCTGGATTTTGCGGATTGGGGTGCTGTTTGAGGTGCTGATAGCAGTGCGGGCGCATCTTTTCAAGATTGACGGTAGGGTGCTAGGAGGCATGCAGTTTGGGTGCTGGTGCAGGTGCTGTTTTGGGGGTGACGGTGCCATCTTGACGGTAGGGTGCACGGCGGCATGCAGTTTGGGGTGCTGGTGCTGGTGGTGTTTTGGGATGCTGTTTGGGGAGCTGTTTGGGGAGCTGTTTGAGGTGCTGGTGACGGTGCGGGCGCAATTTGCGATATTGACGCCCGGGTGCTATCGGGCATGCAGGTGACGGTGCAGGCACATTTTTGCATCTTGACGGTAGGGTGCAAGGGGCCATGCAGCTTGGGGTTCTGCAGGTGGCGTTTTGGGATGCTGTTTGGGGGGTGCTAGTGATGGCGCGGGTGCTCGATTGACGGCCGGGTGCTGTTTGGGACGCTCTTCGGGGGGTGCTGTTGGAGGTGCTGGTGTGCAATCATTGCTATCTGGGGTCTATGCTGGTGTAATTTTGTGTATTCCCCTGATAGCTGAAAGCTACAGGGGTTCTAACTTCTAATAAAGCGTGGGCAGTGATTTGCTTGATTGACGGCTGGGTGCTAGAGGGCGTGCAGTTGGGGTGCTGGCGCAGATGCGGTTGTGCTGTTGGAGCTGTTTGTGGTGCTTTTGACGGTGCGGGCACATTTTTGCAAGATTGATGGCAGGGTGCTAGCGCGTGCAGTCTTGGGGTGCTGTTTGGGGTGTTGTTTGAGGCGCTGGTGACGGCATTCTTGCGAGATGGATGGCCGGGTGCTAGGGATGGTGCGGGCGCAGTTTTGCAAGATTGACCGTAGGGTGCTCTCTCTCTCTCTCTCTCTCTCTCTCTCTCTGCTGTTGCGTCTATGGCGTGCAGTTTGGGGTGCTCGTGCAGGTGCTGTTTTGGGATTCTGTTTGGGGCTGTTTGAGGTGCTGGTGACGGTGCGGGCGCATCTTTACGAGATTGGTGTGCTGTTCGGGGTGACGGCGAGTGCATTTTTGCGAGATTGACGGCAGGGTGCTAGGGGGCATGCAGCCTGGGGTGCTGGTGCAAGTGCTGTTTTGGGGTGCTGGCGTTTGCTATCTGGGGTCTATATGCTGGTGTATTTTGTCTAACGCATATTCGAAATTGCAAGACATAGTCATGCAAATGCGAACCTCAATCGAAGCCTCTGACCAACTTTCGCCCTTCTGTGACCCTTACCCGCTGGGCCTTGGCACAGCAATCAACGCCCCTTTCCATACCAAAAACCTCCCATCGGTGCCAGATTGGCCTTTTCGGGTTTGCTGTGCCTGGCCCATGACAACACTCCAAGGTCCCTCAAACATACAATATCTTCCCACCCGTTTCACAATGACATATGTTCCTCCTTGCACGGATGTTCATGCATCATTTGCATTGGGCGAATGGGCACACTGATGCCGAGGTGGGCCCATCCCTACGAGAGGTGACGGGAGGACCTTCACAAACGGACCCAACACTTGGGTTCCATGCCTGTTGGTTCGGCTTACCAAGGTGAGTCAGATGAGGCGTGTCCAGTAGAAACGAAACTGCCGCACCTTCCCTTGCGATGGCTCGGAGGCGTGCGCATGCGCCTCAAGCAAAAGAAGGCTGGCCAGTAGTGGCCAAGAGCCGCTCGAAGACCCGGCTCTTCAAGTCGACCTGCCGCTCGCGGATCGAGTCGGCCGTAAAGGTTCCCGGATTTCGACCATATTACCCTTACCCCACAGCAAAATACCTGAACAGGGACCGCTTGCAAGACCATTTTCCTTAGGGGAACCTCGGGTTCATGTCTGTTCTTGGGAAAAGGAACTCATTTTGAAAAACAAACCGTTCTGCTTGAAAACCATCCAGAGGGGAGGTGTGTGAAAGCTGGGAGGTGCGGAGGGGCCGGTTTTCTGCTTGGCCAGCTCACTCCATTGCAAAGGTGCAACGACTCTCTCGTCGTTGTAGGTATGGGTTGGTCTCAAAAATTGGGGGACCCAAAAAATGACAACGGTGTCCTGTTGGTTTACCAGTCAAATCAACCGAAGACAAACCCATATCTCAGCCATCCCTTCGACCCTCGGCGCCATCTGCTTTTGCATTGGACGTGGGACGTTATTGTGGGCGCAGCAGGGGAGGCGGAGGCAGCCACTCATAAAACCCTCCCCAAGGCAACAGAAGAAGTATGGGTGCCTGTCTATTCTGGGTTGTTTCAGCCAACATGGACCCTTTGGAAGGGGATTCACAGGCAACCCAAGAAAGAACCCCCCCAATTCTAAAAATGTCTTGCCTCAGCAAACAACTCCTTCTTGTTGGACGTCTTTCGTTTTGGCGATTTCCATTTGTAGTGTGGACTCAAACCGAAAGGGACTTACAGGGTGCAACTGAACTGGCAGAAAGTGCAACTCAGGCCTTGCGTGCGCCCTTATCCACGATGGAGTGGATCGGGAGCATCACGTATCGCTCATCCACCTTGCCCACGCTGATGCCTGTATACCCGGCCTCGGCGTTGGCGATAATTCATCCCATGTGGTCCCTAGAACCCATGTCCTTCAGTTTTGTGACTGCCACAAAATGCCCAAATTTGGGGGCAGCCATCACCTTTCACATGGTTATTGCCCCTACTTTCCCCCTAGTGTGCTTTCGAAACTGCGTTATTTGCGTTCACAGAGTAGCATCCACATAGGCATCAAGCCTACCAGGCTTGCTCACAGAGGGGTGAGGGGGGGGCAAACAAAAAACGATTCAAAGCCATTGGCCATGCTCCCTCTCAGGCACTGACTGACCTTGATATCCCCTGAAAGCAATTTCCCTCCCACCAAGTAACATGGAACCTCCCAGTGGGTTCCTGGAAGACGATTTTCCTTTTCAAGGGTACCAACGTTAGGTTCCATGTTTACTGGTGGGAGGGTAAAACCATGAGCTCAGCCAATCAGGCGAAACGTGATGTGGGTTTCAACAGGTGCGTGATCGTGCTTCAGGAGCTGTTGTCGTGAATGACAAAGGGTGTACCCTAAATTGCGCGCGGAATGTCTAGGGGCCAACAGGCGCAACACATCCCCACAACTAAGCGAAAATCAGCATTGTCTTGCATTTGCCCACCAAGTGAAATCGTTAAACGTTTCAGACTGGGTTGATCAACATGGGGGATCTCTAATCCTAATCCCTAGTGGCCCTTGCAACAAGAAAACCACTATTATCCGGCGTAAGGATCATCAGGATTCTGACAGTTTTACAATAGTTCCAAAACCTAAAGCAAGAATCGAAGCCTTAAGTAAAGGCTGCATTATGGGTATTCGCTTTCCTACTGGGGCTTCCCTTCAACAAGAAACCAAGACCATCTGGCGTAAAGCTGGGCAGATTGCTTTCGAACAACCCATTGCAGGAAATCTTGCTTTGTGTGGGTATCAACATGTCGTCACCGAGCTCCTGGTAGCTCCTTTTCTTTCCCTAAATTTGGATGCATCCCTTCCAACCGGCCAGGTTGTCCCAACCATCCTTGTACCTGGTGCCGGTGAGAATTTCTCAAAATGGTGGACCCCTCTTGGTTCGCCGGTGAAAAGGGAACCAATCACGCAGGACGCCGGCCATTTCCGGGGATTCTTGGGACGTCGACCCTGGGCCCCGCACCAGGGCCGAGTGCACCGCCATCTGCGCCAACACGGAGCAGTAGATGGAGTCGAAGGCGTTGGCCGGCACGGCACGGATCATGTACGTGGGGTCGATGTACCTGACATTCCCGGTAGATGTGAGGGGACTACTTTCCAATCCCTGGTTTGGCAGTCAAAAAACGTTATTCTTTGCTGCGGCCTCATGAACAGAGCAAAGAATAGTGGAAATGTCCAGGGACCCACGTGGGGGAATTGCCATCTGCACCCAACTAACCAACTCCAGCGGCCAGTTGGCTTCAGGGCCTTTGAGTGGGCTCGAGTTCAACGGGCAAAATTGCAACCAGTGACCCTGGTAGACAAAAGATCAAAAGCCACCTTTTATGTGTTGCTTGTGCTCCCTGCAGCTTGCAGGCAAGAGCAGTCACGGGAACCCGTGTTGCGGCTGTCATTCTTAGAAAGGCAGTTGCCACCAGCCAATTTTCCGGCTCCGGTGGGAAATCGGAGAGATAATGGAATTGATCCTTGACTTGACCAGGCCCTGGTAAACGCCATCGGGACAATTGGAAGGGTATCGGTCCCCTCATGTCAGGTACCAGTGAGATCCGTTACTACCCTGAGGGTCGTGACCCCTTCAATGCAGACCCACACCCTCCAATGGAGAACCCAACCCTCAAGGGACCTCAGAAACAAACCATGTTTTGAGGCCCCAAAAAATCAGGAGCTTGAGGACAATGCATGTTCACATGGACGTGAAAGACCGCGAAGCGAATCCCAGCTGAAAGCTAAGCCTCAGCTAAGCCACCACCGCATTTTCTCAGGTTCCTCAAGCCTTCTGGGTGGAAACCGAGGGTGACTGAACAAACTGAGCTGGGTGTCTTTTCTTGAGGCCATTCCTTGTAGGTTTTAAATGGACACCAAAAGGAAAACCATAATTGTCGGGTGGGCGTCGCCTCAACACAAACACACCCATCTGTGTCCTTGCGCTTCCCTAGTTCGCCATGAATTTGCCTTATTTACGCCTGGCGTGCCAAGCATGACTCACCGATCTGGAAGCCGCTCCGAGCCTCAAGAATAATCCTTCAAATAAGCCTTAAGGCCAAAATTAGGTAGATAAATAGTACCTGTCAGTGGGGATTCCCGCAGGTTCCCTCAAGTGTGTATCTCTTTTGAGGGTACGCAACCAGAAGGCTGAGCCCAAAAAGGAGCCCACTCATTCCAAAGGCCCCTCATGTAACACAAGCCCAACATCGATTGGCTGAAAAGCCATCTCACTGGGCTGTCATCAGATCCGCTGCTCAAAGTTCAAACAGTTCGTGGGTTACAAGGTGAGAATTTCCACTGAACCAACTAGAAACCACCAAAAGCACCTAGGGAACCAGATGCCTGGGAACCGCTCAGGGATCCCGGCTTGATGGTGATGGGGATGTCCAGGCTTTTCATGTGCTTCGTGATGGCATCCTTCAAAAATGGGCCTGCGACGCCGGAATGCTCCATCCGAGGTGGGGGGTGAACACGCGGGGGAAGCACCGAAAATGGACTCCGGCTCTCTGTTGATGTCCATTTAAAGCCACCCGGAAAAAAATAAGGGAAAAACCCGGCTTCAGTGGGGCCTGGATTTGCAGGTATAGCCGGATAGCGGTTTGGTCCATCGCCTTGTGGCTCGTGCCTGGGAAAACAAAACGCAGGGAGCTTCTTCTGCAGAGTGTGAGAAAGAAAGCCTGGTGAGCCTGGCCAAAAAAGGGGTCTTCCCGTGTCCTTTCGACATATGGGGGCTGATCAAAAGGTACGTCACATGGGATGACCATTGGGGAAACCCACCAAAAAATATGTCCCACTGAATGGGAAAAACTGCATAGTGATTTGGGGTCAGGAAATGTCACGAATATTGATCAAGCCCCATAATCCCAAACGATGGTAGACAAGAAGGACACTGATGGGATTTGGCGGATCTTGAGACTCGGACCCCTCATCTCCATCCATCTGGATTTGCGATATTTGGTTTCCCCAGACCTCCCTGGAACCTTCTCCAGCTTTGCCACCAAATAACATGAAACCTGACAAGGGGTCCCTTCAAAAGAAAAATTGCCTTCCAGCCGGGACAGGGGTCGAACCCCTGTCACGCCCCATAGCCCACCCATTCTCCCAAATCCTGGGAAAGAGGGCACCGCCACACCCACCTTTGCCTATGATCTTGCCGGCCATTCTTTGGGGGCAAGGAACCCTCGAAAAGGAGGCCAGCTCCGAACTGAAGCAAACCAACCGTTTGGAGGGCTCCTTTTTGCCGCGTTCCCACATCGCAAGTTGGGCACCTTGCTTTTCTTCTGGTCCGCTGGCAAAAAGCTGCCCAATGAAATTCTCGGAACGCTTGGTGGATGGCTTTGAGAGGGCTCCCAATAGTTCGTGCATAAACTTCACCCCGCGAAGAAATTTTCAAACTGGCCCAAAAAGCAATGGGCCAGAAACCAAAAGGAGAAACATCAGGAACCCAATTTACGAAATCCGCGGACGTCGAAAGGGAAACCCCTCTCGCCAACACCCGACAGAAGTTTTCTGGCCGCTTTTTCCTGGGCTGCTCGGTATCCGGGGTCCGGGAGCCCAGGCCGACGTCCGCCAGGACCTTGTTGCCACCCGCGTCGGTGCCACCCCCGCTGGTGATCATGGTGTCCCCGCAGCCTGAGACTCGGGTGACTTTAATGTTGACCCAGGATTTTCATTAACCCGTCCCATTGTTAGGGGGGTGTTCCCTCCGAAAATGGTCTGAATCCCCACTAAAAGGGGACACCAACCTATTACTCAAACAGAAGTTTATGAATCCGGGGTTAACATTAGGTTAAAGTCAGATCGCGCTGACCGTTTCTGGGGCTTAGTGAAGATTCCCTTTAAGCCAAGGGGGTGGTTTCGATCACTATACAATCATGAGGCCTGAGTGGATTCGAAGGCTACGAAGAATCGGGCGTCTCCATTTACAGAGCCGTGCCTTCAGTGATCCTTCGCAGAGCCAAGTGCCTGGGAAAAGGGTCTATTGTTTAAAGCGAACGATGGGTGCAAACAATGGAAAATCAAGTCTTAGAATAGTTGGCCTAACATCACTTGGGTTCCCTTTCAAACCATCCAAGAAGGGGTACCCAATTTTGAGACAGTTTGTTTGGGTTCTCCGATGTCACCCCGCCAAAAAGAAACTAACTTGAACTTGGCCCAAACGGGTGCTGTTTCAAAATTGGGAACCCTGGCTTTCACATTACAACATCAGGATACAAGGAGGTTTCAGACGATCGTGCAATTCTCGTACAACAACACGATATCGCAGTTTTCTGACAGTTGCCGTGCAAGTGAGCAAAAGCTACTCGACGAGAGAGTCACAAGATCCTGGGAGTCCAATGGTCCAAGCCGAATCGTAACTATCAGATGGGGGCAGGGCCGTGCAGGGCCTCCAAATGGGGGGGGACCTTTCTACTCAAAAAGATGAACAAAATGTCCAATCATGATAGTTTCCCTTCAGAACCAGGGCAACACTCCAAAGCTCCCAAGTTTTTGGGGCCCTCAAAATGGCTCGTTTCTGAGGTCTCTTGAGAAATTAGTCAGGGTTCTCCGTTAAAGGGCCCGCGTCTGCATTGGAGGGTCGGGGTCTGCATTGTCGTGACCCTGAGGGTTGAAGCACCCTTTTCAGGCAGGGGCGACCCGAATTCTCGTCTCTAGAACGACAAGGAAGCAACTGCACCCCGGCAACAAGAATGAAACCTCCTCCAGCATGACTTCAATGTGGTCCCAAAGGAGAAGCGCACCCTGAAGTTCATATACTGCAAGCGCCTCGAGGTAAGGCTCCGAGGCACGGGAAATGTGGCAAAGGGCCGCAGCGGGGCCCCCGGGGCCCCCGGCCCTCTGCGACCACAATGACGGCATACTTCTTCTTCCTCATCACCTACGCGCTGGCCAAGTGATGAGCACGGAAGGATTCGGAAAAATGGAATTCACGGCGCCGTCAGCGGATGTGGGTTGATTGAGGTGGATTTGAACATTCTCGCTTTTGTCGCGCCCTGTGATCATACGTGGGGATTTTGCATGCCCTTTTTAGGGAGTGCGGGGCAAGGCACCTCTGACCTTGTTCTTTTGGACAGGGCTGGCACGCCCTCGGCTGACATTACCGGTTGTTCCCGCCGGTTTGCCTTATCAAGAAAGAAGTTGCAAATCTTGCTTCGCCAACCATTGGCAAGCACCGGGTCCATTGCAGTGAGCCTCATGGTGATTTACTGGAGCTCCGAAGCAACACTCACCAAACAAAAGGCAAAACTTAGCCCTGGGGTTCCAAAGGCGGTTTAGTTTGCATGTTTTCTGTGAAAGGCGGCTTTTTGCCAAGAGTTTGTCCAAGCTCAGCTGATATCATTGAACAATTCGGGCGCCGCACGTGCTCAGGACCAAAGTGTGCAAAGACTTGACCTCCGTACCCACAAAACAAGCGGAGGGATTACCAAAGGACAGGCTGAAACACACAGATTCACCGGTGTCAAAATTCACAGCAGAAAACTTGCTTTCACGCTGGAAAACAGGCTTTCACGCCAAGTTCACGGTATTTTCACGGTGATTTCACGCTACTTTTGCGTACATCACAGACCGCTATGTTCACACCAAAATTGTTGCGTCAAGACATGTTGGGATGGAACAGGCTTTGTAGAATCTAAACGTGGCAACAGCATGAGTAGTCCTTCAAATAGCCATGGCTCATTGCAGGCGCAAAAAAACAGGCTTTAGCTGCAAAAAACAGGCGAGGTGCAAAGGACGTTTAAAAAACAGTCGTGAATTTCCAGGGTTCGGTGCGATGGAGCAAACAACTGCCCATATTATGTTCCTCGTGACCCGAAAGCGGGGAAATTCAAACAGCGGGAACCTTGCTGCGATGTCCGGCAGGAAATCAGGCCGATAGTGCCCGGCATACTCAACGAAGGATGCCCTCTAGCATGGAACTCATTCTTCAGCCATGGGCTCATACCGGGCAAAGGGGCGCTCGCTGCCTAGCCTCCACAATGTAGTCCATCACCTTGGGCAAGTTGATGTTCATCTCCGGGATCAGGCAAATGTCAGCGTTGCGCCTCGTGCTCCGCATGACTCAATGACTCAGCCGACCCGGCCGTAGCAGGCAACGGCACCCCGGCTGACCCCTCAACTTTGACTGCACATGGCCACAGACCCCCGAAGTGTCACCTTTGCCTCGCGGAACTATAGGCTTGCAACAATGGGTGGGGGCAGCAAGGCTGAAAACATGAATAATGCATTCAAGAAACAACATGTTCTGTCCCGCCCCCTTCTGCAACAAGTTTTGCAACAAGTCCTTCTGCGGGCGTCCCGACTTCAATGCTGTAGCGAGCACTTTTGTCAATCACTTCCGCCTAACCTTCAAATAGTGGAAAGTCACTTGCACAGCGGGGGACGTCGAAGCAAGTGGAGATGTCTCTCAACATGAGGGTTCTCCGGGTTCCAACGGCTCCACTTTGTTCTTGTCCGGTGTGGCCGGGTGTTTAGAACATGCCTTTTCCCAGGTTGCCTTCCCTGCAAAGAGCCCACAAGCAAACATGCAAGTGTCTCCCTTCGGTTTTGCTGGGTGGCCTCCTTTAAACAACCAACCGCCGGACAAATTGCATATTGGAACCTGTGGCGGGTTGATCAAATCCCGTGGCGGGTTGATCAAATCCCCGTGGAGCCGAATTTGTGGCATAGGATTGGAGCCTAATCTTTGCTTGGCTTTAGGGGCAACAGGCCCATCCAAAAACTTATGGAACCATAGTCCAATACTAGATATACACACACCCACACACCAAAAGAAAAAGACCGAAAGACCTCCAGGGGTGGTTGATTCGGGAGGGAACGGCCCCCGAAGAAAGGAGAAGGACACGACTGGCGGTCCAGGAATAAAAATGCTGGGTTGTTTAAAATGGGGGGCGCATCCATAATGTATAGTGGGACACTACAAACAAAAAGATCTGGCAGGAGCATGAAGGATTGATGTTCAACAGCCGCCCAACCAGTGGAATTGGAAGAGGGATTTCGACGTCTGGGATTCCATTCGTACCGATGGACGAAATTCATTTCGCACCACCGTTCAGAAATCCTGTTTTTGATAATTCCCCTGGAAATAACGTAGCAAACCATGGTGTCAATCATGGTGTCATTTCGTAGTGCAAAATGGACTTTGTCCACTAGGGCCGTCCTTTTGGCGATGATGGGCCGCCGGGCGCGGCAATGGTGGCTGTGGCCGCGATCCACCCGCAGTGCCGGCCTCAGGTGCCGAAGAAAAACTGGGGCGGGGTTGTGGGGAGTAGGGGGGCAGGGGGGCAGGAGGGTAGGGGGGGAGGGAGGTGGGGGGGCAGAGGGGTAGGGGGAGGAGGGAGGTAGGGGGGGGTGGGGAGGTTCGGGAGGTTAGGGCGGTGGCGTAGGGGGTTTGGGGAGGTTAGCGTGTTCCTACTGTCTCCAAGCCGGCACTGAGTCAAATGAGAGCTTCGAACGTTTTCGACCTGGACTCAAATGATGAAACCTGCGAATGACAAGCTTCAGTTTACGAACCCAGGCAAGTAAACATTGCAAGTCAGAAGCAAAGCTGGGTTGATTGGTAGGTTCCAAGGGCTTACTGCTACTTTCGGAGATCCAAGAAAGGGATTGAGTGATCATCCCTTGGAACGGAGGGTCCTTAGCTCAATAGGGGGGACCAAAGCCGGAGCGTACTGTACAAAGGTCAAGGGATCTATGCGAAGCTTGCATTATCAATCATTATCAGCTTCCTCTTTGTTGGTGGTTTGGTGGTAAAGAAGGGGTGTCCCATTCACCTTGTACAAGGACTGGGTTCAAACCCCAAACCACCAATCCAAACCACCAATTCGGGATTCCCTGACAATATGTACAAGCAAGCAAGGCATGAACGGCTAATTGGGTAATGGCGTGCCTCGAATCACTGGGCTTGTTGCGAGGAATCCCATCCGCAACGAGGGAATCGATGATTAACTGTGCCTTCCCCCACAAAGGTCACGATGTGTCCACGCACATTTGCGACTGAGCGGCCCTTTGTGTCGAATTTACGTCAGACACATGGGCCAAAGTAAGAAAAACATGGAAAATGCCTACTATGGCCTCCAAGCAGTGGTTGCAACAGATCATGCCCCGGCCAAAGTCTCAGTGAGTGAGGCACCTATAGCCAAGCAATTTTACACATCAAGACCAGCCTGAACTGCATCATCCCCGCACGACGGGTGTCCTGAAACTACGCCTCCATAAAAGACGTCTCTGGTTTTGGGGAGCTTCTTTTTGGATTCCATGACGTGTTCATCTTTATATCGCAAGGTGTTTGGCCTCGCCCGCCCAAGAAACTGTGGCCAGCACCCCACGCCCCTCACCCAGAACTGCCAGTCAAAAACAGCGGGCCACCGCCTTGAAGGTGAAATGGGAAACAAATACCCGATCGGCCTTCACAAGTCCAGCTGGTTCGCGGGCGAAACTCAGGGCCCGCTCATTTCCCCCACTGTTGTGGTGGATGCCAACTCACCATTTGCAAGCGAACAAGAGCCACCCTGCAAATACCCATGGCTTGTGCCTGAATTACTGGGCAACAAGAGCATCCAGCGTCTCTCCTTCTTCTCTCTGGGCCTCTCCTCCATCTGCCCCCACGCGACTCGCTCTCTGGGAGGCCGGACCCATGAGCTTCACCAAGCCCACGCAGTTGGCGTTGGTAGTGGCCTCCACATAGGCCGAGTCGATGGCCTTCCGCGCCTGGCGGTGTGGCTTGGAAGCGGGCACCCCCCTTGGAGATGAGGAAATGGGGTCAACCCTTCACCCTTGAGCAAAAGGGGTCACAGCCAAAAACACGACGAAACATGTGTAGACCCCTACTTAAATGTGGAGAGATGACCCCCACTTTGTAAAGGGTCATGGAGACTCCAGCCATGATTCGCAGGTGTGCGGCTTTGCTCACTCCTTCTTACTTCTTAAGCCAAGAGAACCACCTAAAACGGCCTCAGGTTTGGGGAGGGGTGGGTTGTTCCATGGCATCCTTAGCAAGCGTCCCGAAGAAACACTTTGTGCCAATCTGGTGGGTTGGAGCCCGGTGGCTTGGAGGCGTGCACGGGCAGTTTACCCATTTATCCTCTAGGCCAGGGGCTCAAGTCAAGCCTCCAATTCAGGGTCAGCCGCAACATATCGCAAAATCTCAATGGAGGTATCGCGAAGACAGCGTTCGAGGTCAATTCAGGCCAGGCTGGTGCCTTGCGACCGCACTTACTTGTACTGGGACAAGCGGAGTCACTCGATAAAATACGGGAATATACATTACTTGGTCATGAAACACGCAAAAGGATCTTTGCAGCCCTCCAAAAAACAACCAAAGGCAGAGCATGACCTGGAAAAGCCGAGGTGCTGCCCGAATGGTTTAAACAATAAAAAGAGTACGCACCGTCCAGAACCCAGAAGAAGCTAACAGCCAGAAAACAACCTTCCACCACAAGGCCCATTGGTCGAAAACCCTCCTTTGAGATTGGACTCCCTCTGTCTTGTCGTCTCGCGATGTTTGTCTGTGTGTGTTAAGATGGGGGGAGGCATGAAAACCACACAAAAGGAAAGCAGAACATGTTGCCCTGAGCTTGCGCTCATGCAAATAAGCATCTGGAAGCATCTGCCTCTGCGTCTGCAGAACTCCAGTTTGCAAAAACACAAAGGAGAAACAGTTCAGACCCATTGGGGAGTGGTGCCAGGATCTGGGACATGGGTCTGAACTGCGAAAACTTGAGGTTTTTCACACGTTTTCGCAAAATGCAAACAACCGCCGAGTTTTCTAAACAATGCAAACACCTCGAATTGTCCAAAACCAAAAAAAACAACAAAAGTTCAGATCCCTTGCGGAGTAGTTCCAGGATCTGGGACATGGGTCCGAACTTTGTTTTAAACTCGAGGTTTTTCGCACTTTTCCCAACAAAGCCAACACCGAGAGTTGTCCAAAACAAAAACCGTTTACACCCATTCAATCTAAACCTTTTATTTAGTTTTCCTGAGGTGTTGCATTGTTTGCATTTGCCCATGTCAGGCCTGTGCGCAAGAGATTATGGGCTCAAACGCACTTTTGTAGGTCACATGTAAGTGTTGGTACAATATCAAATGTAAACTGACTTGATTTGTAAAGAACATCATGTTGGAAAGGAACTCCTGTGTACATGTACATGTCAAAGAGTACAAATATTATGCGACATAGTTATGATTAAACTCAAGAATGTAATATAGACCTGCTGACTGCTATTAAATGCTAATACATTTCAGATAGACAGTGATTAGAATTTGATAGCTATAGGAAGTGAAATTCATAAGGAAACAGTTCAGAGGTCCCAAACTGTTGAATAAATTATGTTAAGTGTTCACTCATTTGCGAAAACAGTTCTATTGAAAAGGACATCTTATATAACATTAAAAATGAAATAGAATAAACTATTGTTAAACCTCTAAGTTGAAATAGACATTATGCTTGCTGGATTCTTGCCTTATTAATTCATTTTCAGATAGACATTGAGCAACACTTGGTAAAGACCTTCTAAAATCAAGATACAATGTCCATTAGGATCGTCTAAATTCCCCATTTAGGATACAATGTCCAATAGGGTTCGGAACAAGCATTCCCTTATTGAGTTCAATTTTATTCCTATTCAAACCCTCCGAATTTTGGAGAGCGGCCGTTGGTGGAGATGTGGACGGAGTATGAAACATGCGACAACACACTCTGTTTTGCGGTGTTTTCTGACCATGGTAGTGTTGGGGCTGAAAAAAGCGCGATTTTGGGAGGGGGGGACCTGCAATTTCTTTCCTACTAAGTATCAGATATAATCCTTTCCCAATGGAACTTTACAATCCAATCAAAGTTTAAAGCAGAATTTGCTAAGACAATAACCTCATCAAGAAGAACATCTTGGACTGGAATGCGAGTTAGATTTGTCCTATTATTTCAATTGGGATTGACACAGGATGATCTTTTTTCGATAGGATTTAAACCGGTCTTTACAAGTTAAAAAAAGGCCCTTCCCGCCGACCCACCCACCCACCCACTCGCCCACCAGCCACCCACCCACCCATTGCAAACATCGAAGCCTCGGTACAGGCCGTGTCGAAGCCAAAGGTGCGGTCCTGCGAGGCGCGGAAATGGCTCGCTCGTCTCTGAGGGAACCGCCCTTTTTCTCGGTTGACGTTGGAAGGGGAGCATACAAAAATGACTCTTAGCAGTTAAGAGGTTGGATTTCAACCACTAAACCACAACAAGCAAACATGTAAAATGTCTCCCAACAACAACCATGATTTGAGGTTGGCGTAAAGGGAAACATGAGAAACCATAAGGACACCCGCCGTTTTGGCATGTCGTTGTTATTTTTGCTCTCCCCCCCCCCAAAAAAAAAGAGAGTCCAAAATTGCGGTTCATACGCATATTTGAGTGGTTCTCAAGACAGGGGACCCTAAATGGTCGGTTTCATTTAGGTTTCGCAGTAAAACAAGAAAGGGGGTTCCACCCTGAGACATCACCCTTCATCAGCTGATTTCGAGAAGCCAAATCCAATAAGCAGGGGTTTGGGATGTATCCTTCAAGGAATCGTGAGGACTCTCCTGTGGAATCCTTCGGGAATTTGGCTACCTCTTAGAAAAAATCCTGGGTGGCCGTTGCCCCCACTTCAGAAAGACTTTTTTTGGGCTCGTGGAGGCACGGACGCACACACACACACACACACAGCTTCCCTAACAGTTAGGTAAAGATCAACGATCCAACCCAGTAGCAGCTGAGTTTCAAACACGGTTTAAGCAGTGGTGTTGAAGCCTGATGCATCCCCCCTAGCCAGTACCATGGCGTTCTTCCAATTTGAAGTTCCTTCTTCTAGGTGGAATCGGGGATTTCTCAAAGGACCTGTCTAGCTGATGGCAGGTGAGTTTTGAAGAATCACTAGTGTCCACCATGAATTGCAGGTTAAGGCAAAACCTCAGTTCATAACAAGCCAATGGCAGCTCTCATCATTCGATCAGTTCAATTGACGGATGAGCCCTATGGCTTGCTAACACACCCATTTTGTTGGCTTGTGTCTCTACACATCCGTGCCTTGTCAGTCAACCACAGCAAGGATGTGAATTGCTTGTAGGCCATGCTGTCTCGGGACTTTTGTTGCCTAAGAGCGAAGCCAATGCGTGCCAGCGAGGTAGAACAGGCCCCCCCAAATGCTCGGGCAACCGAAGCAACCAAAAGCTGATGTCAGCCAGCTGCTGTCAGCCAGCCGCCTCTTCTTGGTGCATTCTCCTGACATAACGGGAGACCGAAAGAACACCAGGCGTTTCGCATTTCCTGGTGCTTTTTCTTCGCCCCGTTTTTCCTCCCACACCGCACACCCAGTCCACCAGGGTGATGTCATTGTCAATGGTCTTGGGCACACCCACCACGGCACACCTACGGAAGCGGGGGGCCCCCAGAACCGAAGGCAGGCTTGACCAGATGGCCTGTGGCCCCAACAGGTTTCCTGGCAGTAGATGCCCTGGGATGATGTGGGTATGAGAATTTTCAGTGGGGAGCCTTTGGACATTTAGGTGGAAAACAAAGTCCACCTGCCATTGTTCAAGAGATATGTCGGTCGACATTTCTTGAACCGCCGGCTTGGGGACCACACTCGTGGCTGATCTCCTCCATGGCTTTGAAGGATTGCATGGCCTCAGCGGCGACAGAACTCCATCGATTTCTGGGAAATGCCCAGGACAGGTTCTGAAGGAAAAACCGCAAGGCAGCTTTGGGTGAAGCTGACTATTTCTGGGGGGGGCCCAGGGATACGGATGACGTCTTTCCTGAATAGGATTCGACCTTCCAAAGGCAAGGCAGCGATTCCTTGTCATCACGCTCGCCAACCTCATTCCCAGAGCCGCTCGGGATTCTGGTGGGCTAGCCCAAGGAGTTTCTTCACAACCCTAAGGCTCATGACCCCTCCAACGCAGGGCCCTTTGAAACAACCCATTTTGAGGGCCCCAAAGGCATCGGGAGCCTTAGGGAACAAAAAACATGAACCCCTGGTTCGATGCCTGTGAATTCAGACTCTCGCTGCTTGGCAGCAGGAAGTCACAGGAGCTCTAACTCTAAGTTGGTCTCTGACCGCCCTTTCGCCGACCCAACTCCTTTTTGAAGAACTCCGAGCTAGGGGGGAGGAAACAAAAAGCGCTGGGCCAAATCCAAAACTCCCTCCAACCAACTGCGTGCATCACAAAAACAGGAGTCCACCCCTTTCTGGAAATTCAAGGAACACGACCCGTCACTTCCGTGGAAGAAGGGAACAGCTTGTGCAGCTACACCCAGGCCATGGGAGTGGGCGCCCCACGCCCTTGTGCGTGCCATCGCCTGGAGAACACGAAGCCAACCACTCCTATGGGCTGTGGTTGAAATGGAGTCCACTTCTGTGATACACCAAAAAAGGGATTCCCAAAGACTAACCCCCCATAGGCGGAGAAGATTCGCTTGTATCACAGAAGTGGGGATAAACCCCTTGATCCCACAACCCTGCTTCTAGAGATCCAGGTACCCCTACACCACACGCCGACATGATGGTTACCTCAAGGGCGCATAGTGGCCAGTGCTCGACACCTGTTTGAGCTCTTTGTTGCTGGCATTGTCCAGTAGGACACCTGTTTGAAGAGTGATGGTGCCCCATATTCATCAACCCCAGTTTATTAGTAGGGGCTGGAGGCCCTTCCAAAAGTAGTCTGCTTCCCCATATTTCACCCGTCAACATCCCCTATTCACACACTCGTTGAAACTCGTGTGGGGGCAACAATATTTGGTTGCTGTCTGAGTGTGCCTCCGAAGAAGCGCATGTGCCATGCAATCTCTTCGGGGGACACCGGTTCGCTATTCACCTGGGGCACCAACACCAAGTAAGCCCAGCCACGCTGTGGGACATGACGAAGCCATGCCACTTGCAGGGGGCCTCCGAAAGATTCATGAACAGAACAGCTGCCGAAGCTGAGGTTCCCTTTTGCGCCGGCCCCTCAAGTAAACCGCCCCTCGTTTCAGCTTTCGGAACGATGTAAGAAGCACTGAAACGCTGCTGAATTTTGACCCGTACCCAAGTGGCCAAACCTCCCGCGATGTGCGGCTCCGCGACGTGCGGCTGCACCTCCCAGGACGAAGAACTGCCGCACCTTGCGGCGCTGCATCACCTGCCAGACGGCTCCCATTGATCCACATCCCACATAGGTCACGTTACCCTTGGTGGGTGGTTTGGATCTGGTGGTTTGGATCTGGATTTGAACCCCTGCTGCTTGTGGAGGGTAAATGGGACGCCACTAACCATAGGTTGGGCAAGCAGGCAGCTTGAAGGTTCTTGTTCCACCTTTGTCTTGGATTCTTTCCAGTAGCCCTTAAGGGAGACGGGAGGGGGCTTGCAACCAGTTGCCTAGCCATTACATGAGGTGTATGTATATATATATGTGTGTGTGTGTATGTGTGCGTTCCAACAATCATGGCCGTGGAACACGTGGACCAGGGGCAGTTTCAAGGCAGAACCCTCCAGTCCACTTCCATTAGCCCCAAAAGCGAGCAGCTTGATCCTTTCTTCCGCGACTTTGGCGACTCTCCGCAAGTAAAGGGCCCTGCCCGGCTCGCAGAAGAACACTTGCAGCATTGCAGCAGATCTAGCGCCCTCACTAGGGGACCTCCCCCAGCGACATCCCGAGCATTGCTGGCCCAGAAAACTGAGACATGTCAGTGCGCAGGTCTCACTTATGCCAAGGGACTAGTTATTTAGCATCCATGATGAAAGCAGTCCTATGGCGGTCACCTCCCTTGCACGTGAGAACAAGGATCCTCAAATCTTCTTTGCGGGTTACTTGCTGAGGTGCCTCTTGGGGAATATCCCTCCGGCTATCGCCGAAAAGGGTCACTCCTCACTCCGTGGTTCCGACAGGCCCGAATGCCCGCGACGGCAGGCCCGTCTTTGTCCGATCCTAGTTGCCACCTGCGCTGACACCCCCAGGATTTCACCCAAATTGCCCGAGAAGTCCGGAAGAACTAGCTGTATCTGGAAATAGGCCAGGGTGTATATTCCAGGGTGTCATAAAACAGTGCCTAGTTTAAGGTATTGTGTGCGTCAGAAATAGCGTTGGCTGGCCCCCGGTAAGGGGGTTTTTGCTTTTCCTAGGGCTGTTTTTTCCTAGCGCTGGTTTTGCTAGGGCTGCAACATCCCCAAAAACTGTCGTGGGCCGTTGAGTCTCCATGTCGGGAAATTGGCACCCGGAATCTTTTCTTCCCTGCATGTCGAACTGGGCGTGGCCACCTCATGTCTTCCCTTCTGGTCTTGTGCTTGATCTAACATGCTACACTCCGTCCCAACAGCAAACATGGCAGTGCAAAGGGCCCCCCTTTCTAAATGCGAAGCAGTCGTACAACGAGGGTCCGCACACCACACCATGTGGACGGACCCTTTGTGGCAAAAGAGGTAGGGAGGTCAGCTCCAGCGCACAGCTCCGGTTACCAGCTCCAAGGTACCTTTGGCACCTGGTAACAGGTAATCATGGGCGATCACTGTCCGGCCACGGGCCGGAAAACGCGTCCGGGTGAAACTCCAGGGCGCTCCAGATACAACTCTGAGCCTGAACCACTTATCCCCGTCCCCACAAAATGAGACCTGGGCCCAAAAACCATTTTGTGGAGGCATCACCTCTCGGGCTAGGTTGCATGTGAGGGGATGGGAAGCTGCTGGATGGGTATCCAACTTTGGCCTTCTGGAAGCTTGCACCTGCGCCCACTCCGGGAACAACAAGCAAGCGGCTGAAGCGGCCGAAGCGGAGCAACCCTTGTCAAGCCAAAGGTGCATCCGTAGAGCCACTCCCAGATGAACATGGAGCCCCTTTTGGGCGCCCCGAGTAAAAGGGGAAAAGAGCAACATAGATGGGTTTTCTTGGTACATGGATGCCATAAAACCAATCTAAACCAGTCGAACACCATCCATTCTAATGAACAAACACAGATCTGAAGCAAAAAACAATGGTTCAGAGATCGCCTTCTTGTGGACCCCTTTTTGGAAAACCCGTGTTCAATCTCGCACGCCAAGTTTCTTCGATCGGCTTGCATCACTTGATGCAAGCCCTGCCAGCCGGAGGCCAAACGAGGCGCCTCTCGGTTTCTAACTGGGCGCCTGATAGCCAGCTACAGCTGGGCTTGGACAATTTTTTTCAGGTGGACGGGCGGGGGGGGGGGAGGATGATGGAGGATGTAATTTGGCATGGCCCAAGCGGCCAGGCACTTCTCTCGTTTGGGGGGTGACATGTCAGCCCGTGAGCCGGCCATCTACCCGCACAGCCTGGCATATCTATTTGCTGGCTCGGATGTGCAGAGGGCTTGTGGAATAAACACTTCGCGTTCCAACTCCGAAAGCCGGGCTCGGCTCAAATCCATGACTGGCTGCTGTAGTCGCTGCTGCTCCTTCGCAGGCCCGCCAGCGAGCCGAGGTGCGACAGCCTGGCACACGTGTAACAAATTGGGTCCATTCGACAAATGTCCCCTTTCCTTGCGCCCTTTGAAACCTCAATGGGTCAAGACACGTCTTGAGACAATGGCCACCCAAACGGCTCAGATCGAACCTTTCGCCTCGGAAGCGCTTGCATGTGACCGTGGCTTCCACAGAAACCATCTTTCATCTAAAAACCCTCACGGAGCCTTGTGTTTACCATCCCTACGGGTTCTGAGAGGTGGTTCTTTCGACCATACATTGAGCATCATCGCGGAATCATCCATAGTGCCTTGGCAAGTGGAACCTGAAGATTCTGCTTACGAACTGCTCTAGGCAAACAAAGGTTCTGGAACCGAAGCCGCGGTGATATCCCCACCAGAGGCCTCAATCTGCACAGCGCGCTTCCCTTTAGATGTAGGGAGGTTGCCACGATGGTCCAAACATATCCAAACAAACCCAACATGTCTCAAGTCCATGCACTTGGGGGTGAGATGACTTTCTCTCAAAAAGTTGTCAATTTACCCATTGGGGTGAGTGACCTTCGCATTCTGGATCCTAACCAAAGGAGCCCCCTCAAATAGCTGATGTCTTTACAAGCAGGCTAATCCGGAGACCCTCCGGCACCTCCAACTGCGTGTTCCCACCTTAACATCTACTTCTATCCGGGATTTCCCAAAAACCCATGGTTTTCTGAGCCCCGGCCAAGCACCCCCAAAGCCCCCACCCCCCAAAACGAAGCCTGATGGACTTGCCCCGCTGGCTAGGCTCCGTGAACTGCGCGAAGCCGGAGGCCCTGGCGCAGTTTGCGCTCCAACCGCTGGCATCTGCATACTCAGCTTCCTGCTAATTGGTGGCTCGGAGCCCGGTGGTTTGGTGGTTTAAGGAGGCGCTTCCCATTCACCCTCTACAGGAAGCACAGGCCTAATTCCCAAACCATGAATCCAAATCACCAATTCAGGGGAACCTGATATATGGTGTGCGTCTTTTTTCAGATTTGGACCCCACAAGAATTGCGGCTTTTCCATGATGGGGCTTCCTTTAAAGCCAACAAACAAAGGGGTAATACCCCCCCCAAAAAAAAAAGAAAAAGAAAGAAAGAACACATGTGCAAAATAGGGGATGTGGACTTTAAACATGGTGGGTTCCGTTTGGTTCCTCTGTGAACCAGCGCCAACAAAAAATAGAAGTGCCCTATGGTGCCCTCCAAAAACAAGAGCCGTACATTTGGCTTTTCGGAGGGTATCTTATCCTTCTGGGGCCTTGAACATTCCTCTGATGTACATGATTGCGCAGAATGGTTGCCCTGACGTTCTCACTTTAAACCGGGTTTTCGAATTCTCCCGCTGAGAACATAGGAGGGGGTTGGCAGCTTTCCCGTTGATTGCCTCGGTTTTCCGCATTTGGGGAAATGGATGGAACGAGTTGCCGACGCAATGGCGATGAGACCAAAATTGCAGATGGGCAAGTACTGCGATGGCATTCGCAGGAATCTGTGGGTGTCTAAAACTGGGAGACCCCCCGAAAAATGTGAATATCCTTTTCTTCAACAGCCCTTTGTATGGGCTTGCCCAAAAAAAAACACGGCTTTTTGCAGCCCCCTACAAAAACTGAAGAGAACCAAAGGGTACGAAAAACCAAACAACTTGATCCAAGAAAGTGAAGTTTTGGTGCCAACACCTCCCCAAGGTACCCTGAAGAGCCGCACCACGAGCGCCCCTCAGGAATCTGCTTGGGGAAGTGCCGCGAAAAAGGGCACTGAATTGCTAGTGTCAGACCGGGACCCCTGTAGACTGCACGCGACCTTCGAAATGGCAAAGCATGTTCCCTGCACTGAACACTGCTCTTCCGAGCTCCCAACATCTCCCAACAAAATACCCCTGAAACTCATCTTTAGCTACCACAATCTGGATGATCTTTGAGCCAACGCAAAGGTAGATCATACAAGTGCTCACATTTTAGAATGGGGTCGTAGGGGAGTTAAGCAGAAGAAGTCATCACAGGGCAATGGGTCTGGGTGAATAATAATATTTCAACAACCTGCAATAAGGTGGTTGGGCGGCTATTCCCCGCATAAACCACCATTTGACCACCATTTGGGGTGAGGTCGTGTGAGGTTGCTGTAAGTCACCCAGATGGGTGTAATTGTTTAGCCCCGTATAAGGGAGCAGGAGCCTTAAAGCCGCGGCGCCTGCTCGCCAGATTCCGCACCAGCTCATCTCCCAAAGTCAGGTCGGTGACCCCATCCTCGGACTGCTCCTGTCCAGGTGTAGTCCGGGGCAGCCATGTCAGCTGAGCATTCAAACAAAAATCTATGAAAAACACAAGCAAGCCAACCCACCCCCCCAGCCCGTTCCGCCCTTAAAGCTGCCCCAAAGCACCGATTTTGGCCCGTCTGGGCCTATCGACCCCATCGCTTTCCTCGCCTTTAGCATTCTTCGAAAAAAGCGCGAAGCTAACGCGCCTCGGTAACCTCTGCCTGGCCGATGAGCAGCAGCCCAAGCGTGCGCAGGTAGGCGAAAATGGGGCCTTCGTCGCAGATGCGTGTTAACACGGGGGACCCCAAAAAGTGCTGTTTTTGTTGTCGTGCTGCTGCTGCTGCTGCTGCTGCTGCTGCTGTTGTTACCTGGCGTCCCTTCTGGGCAGCCTCAAAAAGGGCCGCCTCAACAAAACAACGAGCCACCCACAACTGAGTCGGGCATGGACAATCAATCCCTAAATCCTAAATCTGTACGTGGATGCCGTTGGGTGCGATTCCCGCAGGCTACATCTTCCGGGACCCTTTTTCGCCCTGGGCAGATGGAACAAATGTTTTGGTAGCATGTGGCAACCTAGAAACCAATTTTCCACAACGTCGGGGCTATTTGAGAGGTGGGAAAATGGGATTTGCGATTTCTTGGTGGATCATGGGCTGTCAGGGCAATGGGTAGTTGGTCCATTGGATTGCTTTCAAATAAACGTATACATATGTAGATATATGTGTGCATGTGCACACGTATATATATATACACATATGTACATATATACGTGTGTGTGTGTATGTGTGTATACCATCCGTAAATATACACATGCCCGATCCATCCTGGGCGGCGAAGAACCAGGTCTTACGTCTTGGCATCCCTTTGGCGACCTCCCAGCTAGAATCATGAAAAAGGCCAGAAAGGAACGCTGAAACTTGGCTGCTGGTGGTTGGCCCCTCGGCAAAAAGTATTCAACTGTTTGTCCAATTCGGCAATCCCACCTTTTTCAACCAACAAGTTGAAGTCCAAAGATCCGTTACCAAATGGCAAAAGTAGAAAGGTCAAACAATCGGCTTTAGGCCATGCCTCAAAAGGACACAAGTGAAGCTAACAAGAAGACACAACTGGCTTTGGCACAGCTGAACGTGGCTCGGCTAAACTGGAAGATGGAAGAGGTCAGATCCCGGCGATTCGCATCGGATTCATGGGCTTCCCCCACGCTCGTTGCTTGCGATTTGTGCTGCGCAAACGTACGCTATATTTGGAAGTCGGGCAGAAGCAAATGTACATTCCATTGAAACATGCATCCTACCACATCGACCGGGCGTTGCTGAAAGACCGCTTTCCGCGAAAAACAGCCTTCGCGTGGGTTCTACACAAAGGATACATCCAAAAACCATCTGCCTTACACAAGGGAATCCATGAATCTAAAGGTGCTGCCTTATGCGGCCATGTTCGCAAGCGTGCATCCTTTGGAGGCTGTTCCATGTTTGCCGGTGGTCGGCCTTTGCGCTCCGAGACCCGCCAGAAACGAGACCCGCCTCCCTCGCTGGCCGCAATGGTGGCGAAGCTTTTGGGGTCGATGGTGACAAAACCTGGGGTCTGCCCACAGATGTGTGGAGGGCATTTTCAAAAACCTGGAAAATCGTTCGTTCTTCCCTGAAGGCCGCCCAACAAAGGGCGGTTGCTGAAGGAATTGGGGGAGTCCAGGGTTGCCTGCCATACAAGGGGGTCCACCCATGTCCAGCATGTTGAGTTCCTCCAATTCAATCCCAACAGTAACCCGAATGGGAGGCAACACCCCTCTCCCTAGTTTTCCTTGCCCCTTCGCCAGGGAAGTGAATGAACCATGCGCTCCTGGAACCCTTTTTGGGTTGATTCCAACAGTGGGGAGCCCGGAAAGGGGTCCCACTGATGAGCCTGCCTCTAAAGGCTCTCCCCGTGACTGGCTTAAACCAGACTGCCGTGCTTGGTTGTGACTGGCATGACGTGCAACCAGCGGAGATATCCTACATTGAAACCAACAAACAGATCCCCACAAAAGAGAACAGGCATGCCAGGTACCACGGTCCCTGGGAAACACAAGCCACATCCTCGAATGCAACCTTACCTGACCGGTCTTCCAGGCTCAATAGCCAGCTCACGCAGGGCTCTTTGCGAGACGCACGAATGCTTCAGCCGGGCTCGGTTCCATATTCAACCCCAAGTCATTTCTGTCCTGCCGTTCCTGGGTTCCCCGCACTCCCCCAACCACCAAAGCCTTATTCAGGCGTTTTCTGGCCACGCAAAAATCGCCAGGGCACGGGTGGTGGTGTTGGCAACAAGCTGCCCCCGGTGATGCCACTTCGCCCACAGCGCCAGCTCGCACCTCACTTGGGCCCCTTTGAAGTGCACCAAGCTGAAACCTCAAAAGCTTTCCAGCCAAACCGACAGAGTTCCAGGAACAAACTGCCAGGCGATTTGCTGATTCCAAATCCATCCCTCAAAGTGGTCCGGCAAGTGCAAGAAAGTGCAGCCCCCGTTCCCCGATCAAAAGTTGAAGGTGGAGACTAGAAATGGAGATCGTCGAAATCCCTCTTGCCCCCATTCCCATTGATGCAGGGGGAGGGCCCCAAAACGCGCGAAGTCCAACCCCCCCTGCCCCCACTCCCCGAGTTTTAACGCCCAGTGGCAGCCAATGGGTGCCCCGCAGCTCTTGCCGATCTGGGCGGAGAAATTTCACATGCGATCGGACCACACATTTGTTTGATCCCGGCACCTAAACGATGTAATGGATCCCCAAGTGAAGGACCTTCATGGACCTCAAAGCACCAATGTTTGATTCCTGCACAGGCTTTGTTTCACCGGTGTCCCTTCACCCTCCAAGTTTGCAATCTTGGACGGATCAGCGTGCATCTCCTTCAAAGAACCTCAATAGAAATAGTTCGCAAAGGCCAAATGAAGATCATAAGCCAACCAAACCAACCAAGCCAAGCGAACCAAACCAACCAAACTGACCAAACCAACCAACAAAACCATCCAACCAAACCAACCAAACCGACCAAACCAACCAACAAAACCATCCAACCAAACCAACCAAACCAACCAAAGCAACCAAGCAACCAAGCAACCAAGCAACCAAGCAACCAAGCAACCCAGCAACCAAACCAAATCAACCAAACCAAATCAACGAAACCAACCAAACCCATAACACAACGCCAAACCGACCAATCACAAAACAACAATAAAAAAGAAGCAAACTAACCAAGCAAACCAACCGAACTAGCCGACCAACCAACCAACCAAACCAACCAACCAAGCGACTAACCAACCCACCAATCGACCAACCCACCAATCGACCAACCAAACAACCTACCAACCAACCGAGCCAACCAAGCCAACCGACCGACCAACCAACCCAAAATGCAAATAGTCCATCCGCAGAAAAAAGGTTTGGCGCAACTCGAATCCGCCGGGGCCCCAGCTGCGATCCAGCAGGATGCTCCAGTAAATGGAATCTCCAGTCCCTGAGTCTGCGGGGTTGCACCGGGGTGACAATTCTACTTTAATTGGTGGTTTTAATCAAAGGACTTTTCAGGGATTGGGTTTGGAGGTATGGAGGGTTATATGCCACTAATACAAGGATGTGCCCCTAGCTTATATTGGTGAGGCATAAGAATCCAGACCTCCAAAACCCATACCTCCTACGTCATGGTTTTGACGTTGCCCCCAAACCACCATGGGCAACCCGACGAAACAGTCAGGAAAACCTAAAACATTACATATTCCCGTTTGGTGTGCCTGTCAAATTTCTATTTCTCCATGGGGGAGGTTCCCTGGCATCACAGAAGTGCAAACTCGCTTCATTCCCACAAGCCTGATGAACAACATTTCCACGAACCTACAACAGCATTAGAACCCCACGAAACAAATGGCCCCTGGATTCATGTCTAGGATCCTTGGTGCCTTGACAAAGCTCTCATGAGCGGATTGTGAGAGACGCTGAGGGGGTTCCGGAGCATGGTGCGTGAGGATTGCAAATGCCTTTCAAAATCATATGAAGCGTCCCCAAAAAGTCAAACACTGGGCCTTACGCCTCAAGCTCCATGACCCACCTTGCAAGACCCCGAAGAACACCGCATTTCAGGCTATACTTGCCTGACATGGCTTGCACGATTTTGCACGTGCATGCATGCAGAATTACCCACCATTTGCTTTAGTTTGTGGAACAACACATTCAATAGTGAACAGGGGAGAATTTCCAAAAAAAAACAAAGAACAATAAAAACACTGGATAGTCCCCCCAGCCCTTTGCGGGCTGAGAGCCAGCTGTCCCACAAATGTCCACGAGCAAGTCACCATTACGCGAGATGGGCCCGGAAGCACTTGCCGATTTACCAATGACCCTTCTCACGTCAACCAAACAACGGCCCAAACCAGGCAACCGGCCAACCAACTATCATCAACTATCCATCCAACCGATCAACCAGCCAGACAACCAACGCGTCTGATGCTGAGCTAGAGGTCACCATAAAAAAGGCAGCGACCTTCCCAGGCTTGAAGCAAATATGCATTTCGTGGCCCTGAGATATCTTCTTGCTAGCCCCGGAAAATACAGCAAAGAAAGCCATAGGCAGACCCATTCCATGGGGGGGGGTGGCCCAACTTTACCAGAGCCACGTGGATTTCCGGCGAGGCGCGGGACACGTAGACATGCTGCGCTTCGGTGCCGTCCACAAAGACGTCCAGCTTCGCCGCGGTGACCTGGCGGCGGAGTTCGCGCTATAAGAGGCCCAGAGGGATCCGTTTCAGGGTCAACGGGGAGCCCAAACGCACACCAAAAAGTACGAAACCGAAAGGAAGCCTTCCATTTGCTTGATTTTAAGCCCCCCTGGAAAAAATGAGAACATATGTCCAGGCAAATCGATAATGCAAATGGAAGAAACCGCCTATTTTTCGGGGTCCGAATCCCTATATTGCCCTGTAAGTTTTGCAACGTGTCTTCCGAACACTCTTGGGGACAAGGTGCCTGCGCGATCGTCTTCCGAGGTGTGCGCGCATGGTGTCGAAAGACTTTGGGATCGGTACCAAGGCTGCCTTCTGCTCTCTCTGAGTATGGCCACGAGCTTGAACTTTTGGGGTTTTGGCTCTGCTGAGGAACCCTACTTGCCAAAAGTGGAACATGTATCAACTCACCGGAACCAAACAAAAACACCCGCACATGCATATATATATATACACACATATATCAATAACTCTGCCCCCGCGGCAAAAATCAGTTTTTCGAAGACGCGCGAGTTGCCGGTTTCATCTGCAATCATCTGCATGAGCAGGACATGTTTGAAAGAGACCAAAGCCACTACTGGGAGACATGTTTCTCTGCGCTTTGGTTCCTCACAGAGATTTCCCGGCCACTTCTCAGCTGTTAAACAACTTTCCTGGAAGCCAGTCCGCCTAGCCGAAGTTCCAACCGCAAGGATGGAAAACAAGCCCCGCCATGTGCGAGAGACGAGGCCTGCCTGCTCACTGAAGCAGAAATGGCAGAAGCGCTTGCAGATCTGATGTAAGTCGTCTGCATCCTCCCAAGCGCGCCAAAGGTATGTGTCCAAACTATGGACTTTCAAGTAAACCAGCCACACGCAACCACCACCAAGCCCATTTAATGGCTTGTCGCTCGCTATAGGGATCCCTTGTTCCCCTACTTGAGAAATTCAGGACACCCCGGGGCAACCCATTTAAACGTTAGAATCCCCAAAATCCCTGTTACGATGTGTCCTGCTTCATCAGCTTCCATCGTATATGATCTTGTGCTCATCGGGGTGTTACGCACCAAACTTTACCCACCCTCACAAGGTGTGCAGAAACCGGGTACGAAGCTTGCCAGGAGCCGAGCAGCTTGTCCATTGCCAAGAACCCACCCAGACCAGAATTGGGCCTTTGCAAACAGAAAGCCAGTGCACGCAACAAAAAAAGGGGTCCCCAAAGAGAAGCATCCCCTATGGGACCGCGATTAAACAAACAAACACACTCACACACAGCCTTTAGCGCGATTCAGCTCGCAGCAGATTGCCCGCTGGAGTTCAGGGAGATGGCCATGACCCCTCTGAATCAACCAGGGCTTCTGTGCATGGTCCTGGATGCCCGAGAGGAAGTGGGAGTCGAGAAACACCTCGCGGTAGAGCTCCTCGTGCAGCAAAATCCTGAGACTCTCGGGGATGTCGTTGAAGAGGGCGATGTCCTGCACCCATTTCGAACGTTGCACCCACAACACAGAAGAAACACACACACACACACACACACACTCTGCTTAAATAACAGGCCTGAACCGCAAAAAACACCTACAACGTGGGGAATGCCCAATGTCAATCAATACACCCTGCAAACCCAAACCCCATCCGGCACTTCTGGATCCCATGCATGTCTTTTTTGGGGAGCCCAGGAAAACAGTGGTGTGAGTCCTTCTCAGTGACCAGTCGCGTCATGGAGTTGTTGGACTTGCAGAACTTCCGGATGCGGCACCACAGGTCTGACGAGACCTTCCTGAGGCCGAGGCTGGGGACATCCAGGGACCTACCGAATGGCTCCTTTTGCCGTCGCCACAACTCAGATGCCCAGTGGAATTCCATGGAAAAAAGGGCACCCCTGTTTTGGCTGGTTGAGTTTAAAGGGGAACCCTTACCCAAACGAGGGGAAAAAAGGGCACCGCTGGGCAACAAAAACAAAGCGCCATTGCGCCGACATGGCTTTCCCATTGTCAAAGTCACCTAAGCAGATGAAAGGGAAAGAATCCCAGTTGCTGACACTTCAATAACCTCCCAGAAACAGTCAAAAATGATGACCCCAGTTGCACCCAAGCTCGTACTACACAACAGTTTGGCTTGCCCACCCTTAGTGACCACTGAACATCTGATAGGCATTCAAATTGTTGTCAAAAAACCAACTTCACACGCAAGTTCTTCAAACACAATAGTTTAGCGTAAAGCCATACGAATCGGTGTTTTATTTTGGTGTAGGGCGCCCTTTGCACCTTGGTTTTCCCCCACTCTCCCAATTTTGCCTCCTGCCCGAGCAAACCCGAATCACATCGAGGCGCCCTGAAACCTCTCGTTTCGCCGAGGTGCTTGTCACCCAGGAAGTTTCTGATCTGCGCCTCCTGCTGTGCGCTCTTCAGCCTGCGAGCTCTCGATTCGCTGGCTAGGCTCAAGAAGCAAAGACAAGCGCGGGCGCAGGGGAACCCAACTGGCCGTAAGTCCAGAATAGGTACCTCAAATGGAACCCTGGTAAGTGGAAACATGGACCAAAGCCATCTGTCCCCTGGTGGTTTAATTTTGACCCATACCCAACTGGGCAAGGAGACCCTCAAAGCAACTCGGGGCGCGGAAAGAGGCCAACCGCACGAACAAACCTTGCGACTTAGCTACAGCGAAGGTTAGCATCCAGCGCTCCACAGGACGGATTCAGCCTGAAGCTATCCCGCATTTGTTGTTAAAATGCATCCTTTAAGGGGCCCAAATCAAGCAATGCGGATATTTGTTGACAAGGCCCGCAGCTTCGGGGCGGGCTGACCAGTTCAGGACCTTCACTTGCCCAGAGGACCTGGAAGAAAACGTGTCTATGTCCAGGCATGGTTTGGAGGTATGGATGCTCACGATAAACCACCAATACAAACTTGTAATACAGTGCAACCCCTTATATATATATATATATATATGTATGGTACAGCGTTGCCAGCCCCCCCCCCCTCCCCCCCCAATGGTCATGGGTCAGGCAAGTACCCCCCCCCCCCTGTGGTTGTGGTCCTGTGGTTGGGTTGTGGTGGTTTAGGGTTGGTATAGAATTGGTTTAGGGTATATTTAGGGTGTATTTAGGGTTAGTTTAGGGTTGGTTCAGGATTGATTTAGGTTGATTTAGGGTTGCTTTAGGGTTGGTTTAGGTTTTTAGGGTTTGGTTTAGGGTGTATTTAGGGTTGGTTTAGGGTTAGTTTAGGGTTGGTTTAGGTTCAGGGTTTATTGTTTAGGGATTGGTTTAAGGTGTATTTGGGGTTAGTTTAGGGTTGGTTTATGTTGATTTAGGGTTGGTTTAGGTTTAGAGGTCTACGGTTTAGGGTTTGGTTTAGGGTGTATTTAGGGTTGGTTTAGGGTTAGTTTAGGGTTGGTTTATGGTTGGTTGCGGGTTGGCTTGTCCTGGGGGTGGGGGTTGCCGGGGTGTCGGGGTGCGAGTTCAGGGGGTCGGGGTGGGGGTGGGACCGTAGGTGCCAGGATCCGGGGGCTCGGGGTCTCGGGCGGGGGGGGGTCCTGGGGGACCATACCATATGGGGGGGGGGGGGGTAGCAACACGGAACACGGGACCATATATATATATATATATGAGTGGTAAACAACCCCCATACCTCCAAACCCTATGCCTGAAAATGCCCTTGAACATTTGCAAGTTCGCTTTTGCAAGTCAGAACCCACCTCAAGGAACATATCTATCCTCTTTTCCCTTGGCCTTGGCCCCCTCTCACCAATTGATCTTCCCGGGGCTCCGAAAGAAACCTCACTTCCCGGAACGACAATGCGTGGAACCTGAGGCTATCCACTGGGGCAATATGTTGACTATTTCTAGGGCCCACGACTTACGGGGTGACTTTGATTGTCGTAAAATTTTGGGGGCCAGGGGAAACAGTTCGTAACAGATTCGCCTTCAGGGTGCCGTGTGCTCACTTTAAACTTTAAACCCGGCCGAGGGGCCTATGCCAAAGCTGCATGCGAATTTGGGCTTGCCTTGAAATAGGAACCCCCCATTACCTGGGTCATCTCCCTAAAGCACAGCCCCCAAAGGCTAATTCCAAAAAATGACACGCCCTCAGCCAACCCCTTTCAATCCCTCAAAGCAACTGCGCGCGGCCAAGCACCCTCCCCCCCAAAAGCAATTTGCGCAATACCAGCCAATTGCCACTACAGTATTACCGGACCTACTTTCTGGTGACCCTGTTAAAGCCCCCTCGCCTTTTCCTGGCAGGATTTCCAAGCCCGTAAAGACTGGTTGCAGGCGATACTCCTCTGCAAACGTTGAAAACCGGAATGTCCGCCAAGTTTCTTCACAAAAAGCTACAGTCCAAAGATCCGCAACCAACTGGGCAAGTCCCTTTCTTGCGGCCCCAATGAAAGCCACCCCCCCAAGCCCCCCCCCAAGCCCCCCCCCCAAGCCACCCCCCCCCTTTTCGAGGCCACCGAAGAAAACTCTTCCGGCGGAGCCGCGTGAAGGCCCTGAGCTCGTTGGCGGCGTTGGTCATGGCGCTCACAAAGGAACTGAAGGCCACAAAGGCATAGATCACCTGACGGGAGTTCGGAGCCCTCAGATCTCCCGGCGAAAAGCGGACCACCTTCCCTTGGTTAAGGCCAGAGGAGAGTCAGGAGAAAGAAAAAAACACATGTCCCGTAGTGATGAATTCCTTTTAAAACCAACAGGGGAGTGTTAACAAGCAACATGAAAATCTGAAGCAAATCGAGGCAACTTGTGGGTGACATGGAAATCCAACAACTAAGCACGACAAACAGCTAAGGGAATGATAGGGGCACCAAACAAAGAAATTCGGAAGCCCAATTGGAGAAATACCGCGAGGTAGCATTGGCGTTTAGCCTGGTAGGCACCATTGCAAGATGGGTAGCTGAGAGCCCCTTTCGGTTTTTTAAGGGTTCCTTCGGGTTTTATGGCACCTTAGGGTTTTTAAGGGAGCCTTGAGGAATTCCCCCCCCAAACCAACCCCCCCCTCGGGGCTTCCATATTTTGAGAGCGGGGCCTAAACAATGGGAATGGGAAATGTGCAAGGAACCAACGGCTCTAGCTCGGTGGTGGGGATCATAACTGAAATCTAACCTGAATGTTGACCCCAGATTCATCCAAGGTTACTTCTTGGCTGTTTTGTGAGGGTACCTTGCTATGAGGTTTTCTGCAGCCCCCCCCCCCCACGCTAAAAATGAACAGCGCCAAAACACCTATACAACACGTGCCACAGTCAAGCAAATTACCCTTCTCAACATGGAACCTGAGGTTTTGGGGTCCTGGAAGGCGATTCTCCTTTGGGGACTTGATAGGTTCCATGCTACAGGGCCCGCAGGGTAAACCTTGGAATGGAACCATGACCCATTCATCGACCCCAGTTTGTTCATAATTTAGGGGGGTGTTCCCCTGCGTGGTGTGAATCCCCACTCATAAACTCGGGCTTGTCGTAAACTAGGGCATAATTTGGAATGGGAACCTTGCAAGGAACCAACGGCTCTAGCCCAGCGTAGCTGCTCGTAAACGCGCATCTGCAAAAAGTGATTGGGTTTCGAATCCAGCCTTTTTCTGAGGTCCCAGTGGCGAGAAGAACTGCTTCGTGCAATTCCTCCAACATCACAAAAGGAAAATCGTTCAAGATCACTGGAACTGGTACAGACCATGATGTCGAAATTGGCGGGAATGAAATGCGTGTCCCCTCACAAACCACCAGAGTTGGCCTAAGCAACGGAGCCACTATCATTCGGGCGGGGAAGGCCTGCATTTTGGTAAACACGCATCGGTCAGCGTTTCGGAGGACCGGACCACATGTAAAACAGAGTGAGCAGGTGGGTTCGCAGGCAATTTTCAATTGTATGAGAGTTGAAATCCCACGGATCAGTGCTTCAGAAAATGCCATGCGCTGCTCTTCGCTTTTCAAACTCAGGAGGTTAAAAAAGCCGATTCGCTTTGGACAGCGTGTTTCTGGCGGCAGGCTGCCTTTTGGCTTCCCTTTCAAAGCATCCAGCAAGCTTGTGTTTGGGTTCCTCTTCAAATATCACCCCACTGAGAGGAAACTCACTTTAAACCGGCACGACGGGTGATGTTTAAAACCACCAATAGATGAAATGTCGGGAATCCTCGACTCCAATTCATCGGGCTGTCTGTTTTTTCATCCGCTGCTGGCAGAAGTTAAATATGGCAACCCAACCAAGAAACTACAACCACAACCAAGTAGAAACACACACAAAAGGAACCGGATGGCTGCGGGCCGCCATGTGTTTTTCGTCCAACCCCGGCTCCAGGATCCATTTGCCATGTGGCAATGAGGCTGGCGAAGAAGCGCTCGATGGCGTTCTGGGGCGCCACGTTGTTGGTGGCCGGGGCAAATTGCGTCAAGGACTCGGCCCATTGGACGCAGCGAGCTCTCGGGTGTCGGGGGTCGGGTCGGGTCGGGGTTAAACGGCAGCGCGTCACTGGACGACAAGGATCTTCCTGTGGATGGACGAACGGCCCACGAAATCAAACCATGCTTGAACCAATGTTTGTTGGTATTTGCAGGAGAATCGAATCGTTCCAGGGTTTCTGAACGGTGGCGGATTTCGTCCATCCACAGTACTACACCGATCTACTTGCGTGTTCGGCCAGTCAGTATGTTGGTAACGTGGGAACCTACTCCAAGTGCAGTTAGCCTGCAGGATCTTCCCACACCCTGCAAATACACCCTAGGTTGCCCCCAAAGATTGCCCAACATACTCCTTTAATAAACCAAAAACACCCAGGTGTTATCTGGAAATAGGCTATAGGGTGATTCTCCAGAGGCGTACTCCCAGGGTGTAATAGGAAAACCCTTGGATAGGAGGCAAGTAAAATATCACCTTCGTCGCCTAAGATTGGATCCGGTGTAAAGATGGGGCAGTTTGGATGGGGCGGAAAATCACGACCACCCCCGCAATGTCAGACACAAGGCCTTTTCAGCAGGTTTGGACCACTCCAACCCCAAGTCTTCGACTTGGCCTGAAGGGAAGGACCCTTGCAACTGATCGATCGGTACTAAAATGATCCAATGCTGCATGTAAACACTCAAACAAAGGCGGCGGCGCGCTGTTATGGCTGGTTGAGACTCTCCCTAACCTTCTGCCCGAACCGTTTTTGGGCCGAATCGCTCATTTGGAGTTCGTAGCGCGCCGACAAAAATCCTAGGGCCCAGGCCCAGTGGAAGCTCACCATGTACTGATGCCACGCATCCTCAGATGCCAAGATCCCATGGAACTATGGTTGCCAAGGCCCCCCAATAAGGGCCGATTTCCCGCATTCCAACAGGGGCCAATAGTGACCAATAGTGTCTATTCGGGGTAGGACCAATTTCCAGGGGGGCCTGACAAGCCATAGGACAATAGGAAAAGAATCAAGGGGCCCCTTCAACGGTCGAACAAACAAGAAATCCGATCGCTTGCACAACAGGAGAATCAGGCGTGTAGCCCCAAAACAGGATGTTGATTGTTTACCTCCATGATTGACCGCTCCGCGCACGAGGGATGACACAAAACGTTTTCAGCGGCGGAATCTGGCAGGGCGCAACAACATGCCGAGCCATGGGTAGGTGGGTAGCGGTAGTGGACATGTGGGGGGGTTTGTTCTTGGCTGCATTGAAATAGCATTGAAGTCGAAGCAAGCGATTCGGGATGAGCTACGCTACGCGGGAAGCAGGCGTGACCCAGAAGAATTAGCCCACCAATAAGTCTCCTACTGTATCGAATGCCGGCAACCCCACGATAAAGAATCACCACTGAAGACAAGACATCTGGCCATTCCGCCAGGGCTAGGGTACCGGGGCTCAAAGCCATCCACCGCACGGGTAAGTGAACATTTTGCCAATTTCCACTGGACTTGTTTTTAAACATTTCTTCCAGTTGGCTTAAGCAAATGGAAGAATGGGCCTCTTGACCGTCTGTGCTTTCCTGATTCTTTTTGTTATCCCAACGTGCTCTTTTGTCCAGAGGGAAGGGGAAGCGTGGAGGTTTGTCAGCGGTTGTGAGTGGTGCAGTCTGGGGGCTCAACTTGTAGATTCCTTTTCTTGTCAGAGATCTGAAACCTCGTCTTCTACTTGCCCCTGTAGGTTACCAGGATTTGTCTCGCTCTTACGATGTTTGACGTGACCCCGACCTAGAATAGTAGCTCAATTCTCTTTAGAACCAACAAGGGACGATCAACAAACAAAAAAAAATCAGCAAATGGAAGCATTGGCTTTGCAGTTGAGCATCCACATTCTTCACTCCAAAGACGTTGACCCAGGTGTCGGGGCCCTCGAGCGTGTCACTCACGGAAAACCAGGCGCAGGCGATGTAGTGATTCCTGTGGCTGGGAGCCTTCACCCCCACCTGTCGCTCCAACCGCACCCCTCCAAGTTTTGGCCACCGGCAAATACTGGCAGGTGCGCAACATGCGCATAGCGCATTGGGCATGCTTTCGCGCCATGTATTTCCCTTGGCTTTGAGATAGATTTCAAAGTCATGTCGTAAGTCAACCTCGATTTGGCCAACCGGAGCCACAGGTGCATTTCCACCTCAGCCTCACCGGCCTCTCAAAATGGATCCAAACAAGGCGAACAGCTTCGTCTGGACAACAGAACTGTAGCATTCCTGTAAAAATGCAGCGGCTAGCGGCTCCAGACTTGCATTTAGAGGAAAAAAGTAATACCAGCTCCCAGCACTTAAAAACCCTACCAATCAGCTTCCCTCTAATTGGTGGTTTGGATTGGTGGTTTGGTGGTGCTCCGGACTGGTTTGCCATTAACCCTCTACAAGAACCAGAAGGTCAAACATCCTAATCCAAACCACCAATCCAAACCAGGTTTCCAACTAAGGGTTACCTGAACCGAAGTCCCCAGAGATGGGTATGCGGAAAAAACAAAAACTCGCATGGTCATGAATCTTACTGTCTTTTGTTGGATTGCCGGGAGCTTCTCGGCAGTTTGCATGAACTGCACCAGCAAGCGATTGCCACCTGCGAACTCCCTAGCATTGCCTGTAAGCATGCCCAACGCAAGCACAACTTTTGGGCATCTCACTGGTGGCAGGAACGCCCTGCTTCCACACCCGCCGCAAATAGATATGGACCCCCCACACCGGAAAAAAAAAGGGAGCCGATGCTTGTAGAAAAACTTAACTCTCCTGCGCACTTGGCTGCCAAGGTCGTTTGGCTGTAAGGGTATGAAGTGTATGAAGTGATAAACCCGGTAAACCCCAAGAAGGAAGTTCCAACGGTGCAGTCAATCAGGCAATGAGGCCATTCCAACGGTGCAGCCGCGGTACACCCCAATGATCAGCAAAGACTGCCGCACCATCTTGACCTTAGTCGGTTGCGAGCTGGAAGTTCGTGCAAGCCCAGGGAGCTTGTCAAAG